TCGATTAGCACTACAAGAGTCAGTAACCCTCCACAGCCAAGTCGGCAAGACGTCAGCAACCTTACTGATACTTCCCATTTGCAGCTCCGAAACCTGAAGCCGACCCTCCCTGCAAATCTCGATAACCGCCTTCTAGCGCAACAATCGCGAGAATATCAGTCAGACAAGCACATTAGTTCTCGCAGGGCATATAACGGAGCTTGCATCTGCGTGGACTGATGAGCAACGAATAACGCTAAAGATTGTCCCCACAGCGAATGTACACGAGGTCCGACGGCACGGGAGCTTACTCTGCCACCGGAATCTCGCCATTGACCGATGCTACACATATATCGGAGAGAAGGAAGAATAAAAGCCCATGATATTCGTACTGACCTTGCCTGCGATGACCGGCCAAGCTTTGAGAGGACTACGCACATCCAAATTCCGTGGCAGGGTGTACAACGGCCAATGGGGTTCATATCTCAGGCCCGGTCGTCTCTCTCCTTCACGGCTTGCTCTCGGAGACGGCCATAGGCTTTCTCGGGGCTCTGGAGTTTTGCCATATTGGCAGGTGTGTATGCGGCAAGCATGATACCTCGCGCGCCAACATATCATCTGCTTCGGATTAGAGGGCTTGCGCGTATGCCGCTTATGAAGTTTTGATCCTGTTGTTCGCTTGAGTATCACATTATTTGCTCTGCCCTATGCTAGGGACTGAGACTTTGTAGCTCGAACTTCAACTGGCTGCCATGAAGATATTGTCACCATGTGATGCCGTGACTTGTTCATAGCATACCAACTGCAATTATTCACCAGACATCACGGACAGGATGGCTGGGTTTGAGGTGAAGAATGACATTACTATGATATATAGAGTGGACACTGCGTTGTACACAAGCAATTCTTCGTCTATCGACCAAAAGTGAGGAGCCTAGCGATCCGGTTTCAGGTGTCTAGTGGCCGAGGGCACAGCGGTCGGAGCCGCGGCCCGGACCTACGGCCCCACTCCGCCGCGAAACATTGAACGAGGCATGCCAAATGTCTTAACCTAGTCCTTTCAGACCATGGCAGACAAGGCTACCATTATCTTTTCCAACAACGTCGTCTGTAGATTACCGAGTTAGCACTGTCATCATCATAGTCTGAATATCCACATACTCAATTCGATAGAAGTCGAAGTCCATCTTGCGCCGCAATTCTTGCAGTTGCATTTCAAGGTAGACCCGTCGATACGATATGCCCTCGCATGGCAGGTTTCTGAGTATGCTCCCCTAAGAACCCAGCAACATTAGCTTTGGGTCGAGGCAATGTGATACACCATCCACGATGGCAAGATCGATGCTGGCTTACCTCACACGGCCCTCCAATTTGCCGCAAGAATTCGCCGAGCAAAGGTCCAGGTTGAGATGGCCAATTTTCCAAAAGCCCAGGTGGTCACGGCAGGTTGCATACAACAAGGTGAAGTAGCGATAGTTGATCGCAAACGAGTGACAGGTAGCCGAGGCCCCGCCTCGGAGAGATTCGAAATCATGAGGGGAGTTGTCGGTTGGAGAGACTTGAAGTTTAGTCGTGTTTGGGCTCCTTATGGTTATGCCTGCTGCAGCAGTGAAGGCGAGGGATATCTCTGTGACAAACCTGATGAGGTGAGCGACGCGCATCTCGAGGGATTGAGGTACAAATTGAGTCTGTGGGAGGTTTGATCTTGACAGAGAAGAATCTGAAGTCAAGGGAAGATGACATCTGGAGTCCAATTTTCCGAGGGATTTCACGTGCTGAAATTTAGTGCCCGCCAGTTGATATAGTGGTGATGTTGTTGAGAGGATCTCGAGCCTCGTTGCCTGCGAGCAAACAATTTCTCGCAGGAATCGACATGTCAAATTTCTAAACAGAGCCGGCGAGTCTTCTCAGCTTGCCCACCCAGGAATCCCGGGGCCACCGGCTGACCTCAAACGCACAAACAACGAATCCAGATGGATTGCAAGTCTTGGAAACAAACATAGTGACCGGCACAGTTGCAAAGATCGGAATATGAATTCGCTTTTCGACCCAACGCCACGAATGGAAATGACTTGGCTCTGTTCAAGATGCTTCCCACAAAATGGATGGTAATCTCGCCAGTCTTTGCCCAAGATTTACTGGTTACTCAGATATTATGCTTCAGTAACATGGGACTCTCTGACTCGAGAGGGGACTCAGGTCAAGCACCCCGAAGTTGAACTCGAGATGCTGTAGACAGCCTGCTTCATCTCTTCCAACACCAAGGCCACGAGTCTGAGAACTCCTAGTCTTGCTGAATAATGTTTCACATCAAGATTGGTGATTCCTACGCCAGTCGAGAAGGGAAATCACTAGGGCGAAGGTATGATGGAGTGCTGTGCATGATTGAAACCTTCCCAGGCATGATTCATCGTGTTACGAAAATAATTTCCATGTACAAACATTCTTCTGGGGCTATGATGCACTCACTGAGTCCGCACATTCAAGTTTTGCAATCAGGTCCGACAAACAGGACGTTATCTTGTGAGGCCCCTGATCGATCTCCAGTCCCCATCCCTTTAGACCTGACAAGTAAGTCTATCCTTGGCCTAAAGTTCTCAAGACTTACTCAAAGGCTCATGCGCTGACCTCTAAGACTGTCTACTGCCGCCACACATGAAGGATCTACAGGTGATCATCGAGTCGACGACGACAGGCAATCCTCTCATCGAGGCAGTCAACAGAGGGTATCATCCTGACGTTATCATTGGACTCCTTCGACCTTACCAGATTGGAATCCGGTCGCAAGAACTCGAAAGTACCAGCATCTTTCATCAATTTCGCCCATTCACATTGAACGAAGTCAAGTGGCATGTGTACCCAGAGACGGGGATCTATACCGTCTTCAAAGGAGAAGATGTTTTAGATCTTGCAGGTAAGCTCAGCATATACCCCGAGACTCTGGTCAGATACAGTGGAAGGTGCCGGAGTGATTGCGATGGGAAGGACGCAAGTGGAGGTTTGAGACCCGGTTGACGAGGGAAGAGGACTGGATTTGATAATGACTTCGCGGGACTTAGTTTGTTCTTCAGATTCCATAGCTCACCTTTATCTCTGAATTGTAGATTTCCCGTTTTCGAGCTGTATTTCTTCATCCGAGAGCTAGACTATCATGGTTCAGTCTCGTAGAGAAATGTCCAACTTTGCTACACTAAAATACCATTTTCGTACTACTGATCATCACAGGGCATTGAAACTTTTGGGATGCACTTTCAGGATGTTGGAGAATGGTGCATCACGTCCATTACACAAGGTTGTGTGGTAGATATGCCCCCACGACAACGGTAGTGTCCCTAGAAGACTTTGTTTCCTCCTCTGAAGTTGATTCGCGATGCAAGTCAACTCCGACCACCATGCCAATGATCCCTTCATGACACACCCGGACGAACCAAAGCCATCTTCATGCTATTGTTCTTGAAAAGCTACGCAGTGCTGTGTCGCTTAATCCTGCAAGGGATCAGAACCTTGGCCACGGATTCCGTTGGGGCCACACAAAGCAATTGGAAGCCCACATTGACCCCTTGCCGATGCTTCCTTTGAAAAGGTTCTTTGTAGCCGAGACCAAACTAGCAGGAATCTTTGGGTTCTTGCTCAGACTTTTCGGTTACAATTGCCGGCTCAATCTAAAATTGCACCGCCAAACTATTTTCAGTCATTCGAAAGAGCGTTTCTGTTTCACGGTCGTCCTTACATTTTGATCCGATCTGTCAAAGGATCTGAGCTCTGTGCCATGTTGCAGGTCCTTCACTTCAAGTCTATGACTTCACTGAACAAATTTCTAGACTACTTACAGTAAAAGGCGTAATGGGTTTCGCGCAATATTCTAGTTAACATCGTTAGTAGTGGTGGTGTGGAGCCGTGGCCTACTTGGCTTGGCAGATTACTCTTGTAGTGATCAGGTACTCTGGGACCAGTCGCTAACAGAGCCAGAATTGAACAGAGCCAGAACTGGATCCAGTTCAAACTGGCTTACTAGTAAGCTGTCAGGGGCCCAGCCTGTCCAAGAGCTATTAAGCGTCCGTCTTTGCTCGCCCAGCCTTCGTCCCGTTTCCCTCCCTTCTTACTTCTTACTGTAGTCGGTGACGACGCTTCGGTGTCGGCTACAGTATCACCATGGCGCCACAACTCGATGCCGCACAGCGTTCCCTCTCTGCGGGTCCCATGCTCGTTGATAAGAGCCTGGCCATTGAGGCCATTCCACGCGCCGCCACGACCCTGCCCTTATACGATCCGTTAAAACAAGCTTAATCTGATCGTTAGAAAACCGACGGGATGAACGGCTGAGGGTTCAAGGCGCGACATTGACGCGCAGGGTAAAAGCTGACCTGCCCTAGAATCCGCCTGATTCCTGAATGCATACCACCCGCTTGAAAGCTGCTTCGACCCCTACCTAGGTAGGTAATCGCTCTCAACTTACCAATCAGCAACCTCGCCATACCTACGCCGACATGCACCGCCGCAGGCCTACATATCAAAGGGGCACCCCAATTGGTTCTCGTGATTCATTCAAGAGGCAGTGACCGAGTAACCATAAGCTCTTGGCCAATCCCCTGGTCCAACCAGCTGCATGCCCCAAGAACCTCGGTCGCATGCGGGTGTGACTAGCGCCAGCCTGATCTTGTGTCCAACAAACAAGAGGAGGGGCACATCTGCCACATCTATCCGTCCGTCTTACCCCAACGCCTTTTTCTTTCTATCTACATCACCTGCCTTACTTAAGCATCCGCCTATCTTCAATTACTATACGTAATCTGGCCATGTCTGACCCCCAAGCCTATACCGTCGGCTGGATCTGCGCCATCACGGCCGAGTTCGTTGCGGCCCGGGCTTTCCTTGACGAGGAACATACAGGCCCGCGACAAGTCGCCCAACACGACAACAACAGCTACGTTCTGGGCAAGATCGGCAGTCATAATGTCGTCGTTGCCACCTTGCCCGATGGCCAATACGGCACCGCCTCGGCAGCGGCGGTGGCTAGAGACATGCTCCATAGCTTCCCGAACGTGCGCATTGGGCTGATGGTCGGCATCGGAGGCGGCGCGCCTAGCCAGAAGCATGACATTCGACTTGGTGATGTCGTCGTTAGCAGCCCACGTGACGGAAAGGGCGGCGTCTTCCAGTACGACTTTGGCAAAACCATCCAGAATTGCAAGTTCCAAGAGACTGGGTTCTTGAACCAGCCACCAGCGCTGTTGCGAACGGCTCTTGCTACGCTCAAGGCGACATATGAGATGAAGGGCCACCGGCTTGCTGACGACGTAAATGCGAAACTGGAGAAGATCAAGAAGCGGAAGAAGTACACACGACCTAACCCGGCAAGCGATAGATTGTACAAGCGTGATATTGTACACCCTTCGAGCTCACCCCACGGCTGCGATGTCGAGTGCGGTGATGATGCCGCCTGCCTTATAGCTCGGCACGAACGAGACGAAGAGGACGACGACCCTGCCATCCACTACGGCTTGATTGCTAGCGGGAACCAGCTGATGAGGGACGCGCGTGTCCGGGACACGTTGGCGGCGGAGAGGGACGTTCTCTGCTTTGAGATGGAGGCCGCCGGCCTGATGAACCACTTCCCGTGCCTAGTCATCCGGGGAGTCTGCAACTACTCCGACTCGCACGAGAACAAGGAGTGGCAAGGCTTCGCGGCGATGATGGCGGCAGCGTATGCCAAGGATCTTTTGTGCCAAATTGCGCCGAACAGTGTCGAGGCTGAGAAACCCATGCACGAAGTGCTTGATTCCAGTGAGTATTGAATACTTCAGTTTGTCTAGTATTATCTGACTCCAAATAGTTCAAGATATTCTTTTTGAAGTCCAGCTGGGTATACAAAAGCTCAAACTTGGTAAAACTAAGGATCTGTCTGTCGCCTGCAAACCTCATTTCGTCGTACCGTTTCCTTCCGACCCCGATTTCGTTGACCGACCCGACATATGGACATGGATCCAAAATTAGTGTGCCGGGCCTGAAAATCGCTTTGCTCTAGTGGGATTGGGTGGGTTTGGATATGTTCCACTGACTGCTATGGAAGACCTATACTCACAAATCGACAGCAAGTCCCAGATGGCCATCCAGTCCGCTCACCAAGTCCACGCCGCCTTACCCGAAACCAGTATCTTCTGGGTCCGTGGTAGCACGAAAGCGATATTCGAAGAATCCTACCGCTCTATAGCAGATGCCCTAGCGCTTCCTCGTCGTCATGAGTTAGGCGTTAATGTCCTAGTGCTGGTCCGCGACTGGCTATAGAGAAAGGACGTAAGCCCGTGGCTGATGATTGCAGACAATGTAGACGACATTGAGATACTATTCTCCAAGATGGATAAGCAAAACGATGCATCGATGCCAATAGCGTCGTATCTACCAAAATCGAACAAAGGGAAGATCCTATTTACGTCGCGCAGCTGGGATGCCGCAGAAAGGTTAACGGGTAATGGCAGTATGGTTTTGAGAGTCCTAACAATGGACGAAGCGCAGGCATTACTTCTCCTCCAGAAGAAGCTAGGCCCACATATCGACAAGGCCGTCGCACTGCGCCTAATTCGCACCCTTAACCACATCCCACTCGCCGTGAACCAAGCAGCAGCGTACATCTATAGACAAAGCCCTCAAGTGACTGTCCAGTCATATCTAGACGAATTCGAAAGGAGTGAAAAAAGTAAAGGCACTCTTCTTCGCAGCGATAGAGGGGATATGCGACGATACGACGGGGTGTCCAACTCTATTGTTGTGACGTGGCAGATGTCGTTTAAGCAGATCAAACGGGAGCAGCCACGGGCAGCTAATCTTCTTTCGCTGATGAGCTACTTCTACACACAAAACATCCCCAAGTATATGCTGCACAACTACAACAGCCGCTTTGTAGATGAAGACGAGGGCGACGACGACGACGACGAATACGACGACAAAAACAACGGGGATTTTAAAGACGACTTACATGTGCTCCATGACTACTCCCTTATCTCGATGACAGCCACATCGGGGTTTTATGAGATGCACCCACTAGTACAATTTTGTACAAAGGTGTGGATTTCGAAATTTGGTCACCTAAAGCGATGGAAGAGACTCTTCCTCCAGTCCGCCTCACAACACTTTCCATCAGGTGTCTTCGAATGGCCAAGAGACCGTTGGATGATTGACTTCACTGCGCCCCCAAATCCATCCACTAATTGATTCGGATCGCAACTCTGGAGTGCGCTGGATCCAATGATTTGGGCAGTTCTCAGAGAGGCGATACAGATTGCTGGTAACATCTTACGGAGATCCTTTGAAGGGGGCTGGTAATTTATATTCCGAAGATACTTGACATGATAGGCAATGATGGGGTATGAATCAAGACAGAGCTAAAAAAAACGCCCTTTATTCCAGGCTACAATCTCTGCTCATCCCGGATAACCTTGAGAGTCATGAAGCGACACACTTGTCAGGTTCAAGTGAGGTCAGTAGGATCTGGAGAATGAAACCATCTCCCGTTAGTCGCAAGCCAGCGAGAGAACTTATCCATATACTGTCATCCCCTTCCCTTGTGAACAGAATATACTGGGCTTTCAATGAAAAAACAAAGTTAAATGTCTATTCACCGGATGCAACGATCCAGGGATTGACAGCACACCTCAATAGTGAGGTAGGGCCGATCAAGGTCTTGATCAATATCCTTGGCCTGAAGACGCTCCTAGTTCCAGACACCACCCAATCTTCGAAGAGAGCGGCGTTGGTGAATCTTGCGGACACTGCAAGTTTGCGACGTCGCCAATCTGCTACTTAAAAAGCCAAGAGGACGGAAGGCGCGTTGTTAACTGGGGTCCAAGGAGAAAGGTTGCTAGTAAGTAGATTCTTGCTATCAATTTGGTTGACCTGCTGTTGACCCCTCTTCCAGCCCGATATAAGATGCTATTTGGGGCAACCACGGCGAAAAGATTTCGAAACCTCCGGCAGAGAACGAGGTTTTTCCTCTCATCAGCCCGCGAGAAAAGGCTAGGGAAACCTCCAACAGAGGGGATTTCGAGACTAAAGACATCTTCGAGCCCACCCCAACGTGACAGTTTCCTCAAAACTTGATCAACCAACTTGACGCAGACCAGGTGTATCAGCCCAGCTTTATGACGGAACTTGGAGAGCAAGAAACTCGAACCAGCGTAACCAGGAAAAAAAGGGCAAAGCACCTATGAGTAAGCCAGGTAGTCCAAAGTCGCGGCAGTTGAGCAGGTTGGATTCTGATCCCAGACGTTGCAAGGACGAAAAGATAATGAGGGAGATAGCCTCAGATGAATCAACCCTCCCAGCCGGCTTCTCTCCAGTAGACAACAGCGCCGGACAGAACGATGGCATTTCTGTTCAGGATGAAGCATCCGAGGAAGAAAAAAGTAGCGCTCAGCAAGACGCAGATCCACCAGGGATGTCAAGAAGAGCACTTGAGGTCACTAAGAAGCGCAAGCTTGTGTTCGAGATTGATGATGGCCCGCCAAGAAAACGGCGATAGACATTGCTTGATTCAAAATTGCCAAGTTCGATATGGTTTTTGATTTCGTCGACCTGCCAAGGATTTTGAATTATTTGTTTTGCACCGAAGCAGGATGGGGTTTAGCTGTTTCTCACATTGATGGAGTGTGGGATGACTACCTGTTTTTGGTTGTGTGCCTACATCAAACATGGTTTTTTAGAACAACGCGGGTCTACCTTAGTAGAATTGACCCCATATACTGAGTCTTCGTTACCATTGCAATGTGTTCATCTTGAGCGTTTAAAAAGACCGCTGTGCATAAAATCATCCACGGACTCGGCCTAGACAGACCGCGTACTCCACTCCGGCCGGCGCAAGCATCGGCCTAGTATCAACTCTGAATGGTATTAAGTGATGACAAACCATGACGTGATGGAGTAGCGCTATCGTCGTTCACGTCAAGGTCCGCCCAACAGCGACATTGACGTTGCAGTCTTTTGTCCTTGAGCTTTAGACGTAATCACAACAACCTCGCCCCTGTCGCCACGTCTGTACTCACAGAACTCACACGACATCATGTCTTTCATGCAGGAGCTCGCGTCATGGATGTCCCCAACATCGTTGACCCTGTCCAGCCCACCAAAAGCGGGAGTCGCGGCTCCAAGCACCGACCAACTCGCGTTTCCCAGGGATGGTGGCAAACCCGCTGTAATCGCTTTCCTGCGGCACTGTGGATGCCCATGTAAGTCAAGACCTCAGATGATGGGCTTTGCTTCTGTCGGACCACCAGTGACACTCACATAACTGATGAATTAGTCGCCGAGAAGACATTCCTCACCCTTCGCGATGCAGCTTCCAGGCATCCCGAAATTACCTTCATCGCCGTCTCTCACTCTTCAGATTCGCACACGCAGAAATGGCTGTCCGAAGTCGGTGGCCCCGGCGATAAGAACCCGGTTCAAGTCATCGCCAACGAAGAACGCAACATTTACGCCACATGGGGACTCGGTGTATCGAGTTTCTGGCATGTACTCAGTCCTTGGGCACTTTCGGATGTGTTCAAGCTCTCCCGAGAAGAGGGAATCGCCAATAGGCCTACAGAGAGCGGCAATAGGTGGCAGACTTCCGGTGCGTGGGCTGTTGATGGGAAGGGTAAGGTGACGTGGGGTGGTCCAGCAACGACTGCCTCTGAGATTCCCGATGTCGAAAAGGCGATTGAAACGCTAAAGTAATTTGTGTCCTAATTGGCATTATTTATCTTTTGAAATATTAAATTCGACTTTCGGCAGCTCCAGTGGACCAGCCCTGAACCAGACCAACAAACTTCTCAACCTCTGTTGCTTCCGTCGCCCACGTCGTGAGCAATCTCACCACAGCCTCATCGTCCCCACGCTTCTCCCATACATAGAAGATGAAGTGCCCCTGCAGAACCTTGATCAAGCTCATTGGGAGCACCGCAAACACCTGGTTTGTCTCCGTCACGGCGTGAACCGAGAACCCGGCCGTCGCGATACCACTCGACAATGTCTCGGCGCAGTAATTGGCTAATCGTGCGAGATCAGAGTATAGATCCTCTCTGAATAGTTCAGCAAACTGCGCGCCCATGATTCTGCTCTTGGCTAGCAGGGAGCCGTGCTGCTTGACGTAGAACTCAAACTCGGTTGCTAGACGAGCGTCCTTTACGACCACGGCTTCTCCGAGCAATGCTCCGTTCTTTGTGCCTCCGATCCAGAAGATGTCTGTCAGCTCCAGAATATCCTGGAGCGTCATGTCGTTTGATTTTGAGGCCAACGCAGTCCCGATACGTGCGCCGTCGAGGAAGAGAATGAGCTGATTTTGTTCGCAGACTTGCTTGATGGCAGCAAGCTCGTCTCTCTTGTATATCGTTCCAATCTCCGTCGCATTGGAGATATACACCAGCCTCGGCTTCGCCATGTGGGGGAAGTGCCAGTTCTCATCCACCGCGCGTTGGATGCTCTGAGGCGTCAACTTGCCATTGACAGGCGCAACGTTTATGATCTTGTGCCCGCTGGCTTCCACGGCACCAGTCTCTCTTGTGACAATATGTCCCGAGCTCGCGGCAATTGCAGCTTCGTGAGGTCTTAGACATGCCGCGATGGAGATGGCGTTGGCTGATGTCCCGCTAGGCACGAAGAAGATTCCAACATCATCGCGACCTAGGTGTCGACGTATCCGTTGCCTGGCAAGGTCACAGTATGAGTCGCCGCCGTATCCGGCCTCTTGAGATGTGTTGCCGGCGAGGATGGCTTTGAGGAGTGCTGGATGAGCTCCTTCGCTGTAATCGTCCAGGAAGCTGTAGCGGGGAGTCGCCGTAGGGTCGGGAAATTGTGAAGGCATGTCTGGCTCTACGTAGGCGATGAGACGAATAACAAGTAGAGAATAGAATGAGTCACTGGAATCACGAGAATCTAGTCCAGTGTGCCGGGAATTCTATATAGAATTCCCATCCCCACCGAAAAGCCCACCGAAGCTTTCAGACGATGACAAAATCCGAGCGTTAGTAATTGGAACGTTAGTCAGTGCGACGATAGTCAGTGCGATCACGGTGGGTCGGTGCTCAACAAAAAAAAAAGCGTTATCAGACTTTCCCGAAACTACGGATGTCTTGGTCCTCGAAATTGCCTGCAAAAGTTGACGGCTACACACGGCGTGACAGCGGATAGGTGCGGGTTGACAGTCCGGGGTTCCGGTGTTCGGGAAAAGCATGAAATGTTTTGGTTGACCATGCAGTACGCAATGCGCGGGGAAGATGTGGCCCAAGACACGCATTACGGAGCCGTAGTCGAGGAGATCGTGCTGGTGGCATCCATGGAGAAGTCTATGAAACTCCGGTAGGTCTCGACCATGGAGTCGTCGAGGGGTTTGGGGTACGTGAGAACCTTTTGCGATCTTGGCTTGAGCGGTACCCCGTTGGCCGTGAGGTCGTTTGACTGGTCGTATAGTTCTGGGTACTTTGCGTAAAAAGCTGGGTCGATCTTGTAGTACGATGCACCTTTATCCATGTTCAATTGCTTGAATGCGGCACGAGCATGGGACGGAGACGAGAAGAGAGTGGTGATATCCGGAGCAGGAAGACTGGCGGGGGGATCCTCGGAGTTGTTGCCGGCACCGGAAGACATGGCTGCGATAAGGTCCGTCACCCGGACGTAAACCATAAGCTGTGGCGCGTCGCTTATCAGCTCAGACATGACCGTTTCCACCACGTATCCCGTGACGGCGTCGCAGAAGATTTGGTCGATGAGAGGGTTGGCGGCGTGAAGCTCTATTAATCGGTCCCGGATCGAGGGGAAGGGTATCCAGTCTATCACGCGCGGATGCGGATGCTTCAGTTGCGTGTCGGTTGGCCGATATCGCTGGTGCAATTTTTGGAAGGTCGCAGGCGAGGGGTAGAGTTGCCAGGCTGTGAGCTCGATGATGTGGAAGAAGCGCGTTTTGGCGTACCATGCCATGACATCGGGTCGCGTCATACTGTTGAACATGGACAGGACCATGAGAACTGGTTGATATATGCTGGGAATACTTGTCAGTTTTGCCTCCTCGTGACATGTGGTCTTCTCACCTTTGCATCGATGGTTGGCTGTCTGGAATGAACCCATTTGCCGCCAGCTTGCTTTTCAAAAGATGCTGAAGGAGCTTGATGTGGTCCGAAAACGGCGAATTTGATACGGGCATGTCCCTCCTCAGCGCCATACTGGACTCTTGAGTTGCAGCCATGGCAGTCCGATATGGTTCTATCCCAGTTTGGTACTCAAAGCTCCAGATATTCGGGATCTGTGCATAGAAGGGGCTAGTTCCGGCGACGTTGATGAGTTCCGATGATAAGAATGCATCTTCGGCCTGACCTACAACACCATTAGTTTCCACTCGACGAAGCTCAAGATCTTGCACGGCATACCTGGTTCAGATTGATGGGCCAGCGGCGGATCAAAGTTTAGCGATGATGTGTTAAAAGGTTCCAGCTGCATAGATGGTCCCGGGAAAACGGGCCCTCCATAAGCCTGCTTGTGGTCGTATGTTGATAGCTGTAATGACGAGTCTTCTGTCTCTTCAACCTCTACATCCCCTTGAGAACCTGTGTCATTCAAAGTCTTGGATACAGAGTCGCTCAACCCCTGTATATTGGCCAGCAGCCGCGACATCCTCGCCTGAACATCGACCAGTTGCGCCCGCAGCTGCCTATTCTCGCGCTGAAGCTCTTCGATTCTCAAATTGTCGGACTTCTGATCGGTATTGACTCTGCTACTCAACTCTCTCATGCGCTCCGCTTGTCTGCGACGGAAGGCCTGCTGTGAAAGACGGTTGCGCAGTCGTCTAAGATAGATGCAACCCCTCGTCAGCGGTTTTGGTTGGGGGGATTGGGCCGCTGGAGTTGGCTAAGCCCACCTACTTTCGTTCTTGCTCACTCATTGAAGAGCCGTTGTCTTCCCCGAGGGAAGCAGACCTAGAAGGCGGCATGCTGAGCAAATTGTCTCTTAACTCAAAGCTTTCAACCTGGTTCTCAACCTGGTTCTCCAATCATTTAGTTCAAGTTTGTAGGAGGGAAATCGCTGACTTATTTCTGTCGCACTAAACCTTCTCTCTACCCTACTGGTGCCGTGGGGATCCGTGCCTAGGATCGGCCCCACCACAGCTCGGTGCTCCGGGAAAGCCGTGACGGTGGCACTCCAATGAAGTCTTTGAACTCTTTAGACTCGACCGGTATCCCTCATAGTTGAGGGCCTGCTCTTAGTCGGGTTAAGAACTTTAAAGTTGCCAACAATGGTAAAATTCAACATCAGTTTCATCATGCTTTTCGAATTTATCGGAGTGAGTTGCTATCCGTTTCTGTTCACTGATACTTGCTGGTCTTGGGAAGTCTTTCTAGCAGAACCGTTCAAAAACAATGAAGCCATGACTGAAGCATCTGAGTGCCCGGTTACTTATCGTACTTAACTACACTGATCGCGTGGTCCTGTTCTCGTTTTCAAAAAGTCATCAACCCCATCTATCACACATCAATTGCCAACAGAACCAGTCTGTCCCGCAGGAACTTACAAATAGCACTAAGCAGTACAGGAACCGCAAACCTAGACTTGCTTCCCCGTCTTACAAGTCACAAAACCAAGACACAATGGACAGAAGCAACACGAATTCTTCTTACCTAATGTCCGAGCTCAATGAAGAACAAAGGCAAACTTTGAGAACCTTGGCCAATCTTTCAGAGGCAAACTTTGGAAGAGCCACGGTTCTAGCTACCCTTCACATGATCTCTCGCGGCTCTTATGTAACATCTACCCCTCTCAGAGAGTGGCAACCTCCAAGCACTACCACAACTGTACCAGACAATCTCGACATTGAGAACCTTCCAGGTCGAAGTGATTTCTGCAACGATGCTTCGTGTCCTTTCAACTCCTTCAACTCCCCTGCAAATCCCTCCGACAACTCTGCCCCTCAAAATGCAGCTCGTGGGTTTTTCTTTGGCGATGGTCCAATTTTCACGCTCGATCATGAGCTCTGCGAAGATTATACGAGCATGTGTGGAGCTGATTACTACTACGATTTGTCCGAGTACTCTGACCCCTCCGAGCCATCTGGAGATGACAGCCAGGTGGAAGATCTTGACAACTTTGGCAAGATTTCGGTAGATATTGATGATTATGTTTACCTTGAAGCGGATGGACATGAGCTAGACTCCGAGGGGCTTGGGTTGCCAGATTTGAGATATGACTTTGAGAGTATGGTGTGTACAAATGAAGAAGACGAAAACGAAGACTAAGGTTATCAGAATGACTGGATGCGCTTGGTATAGGAGGTAATTGGAGAGCGAGTGCCCATATTACAGGGCACTGGGTACGAAGAGGATGCATAAGGTAATGAAAAGAAAAGTTTTAAAAGAATTGAGTTGACCGTTTTGATTACCTTGTCCAAATCTCGAGCACTACAATGCCCGCCCCTGCAATGTACCTCGGCAAGACAAAGACAACAGAGGCTTGGTCTCGACAGACTCGGCTTTTTCATAAGCCGCTGACTAGCAAGGATCCCGGAGCATAAACCGCTGCGAATCTTTTCTCATATATGCATTGACTCCAATTTTGAAACTCATAAGCCTATGACATGTAAACCAAAAAGGGACTAAATATCAAGGTCCCAATCACTAGAAGGCTCGGGATACCCCCGCTGGGGCCCACTGCCATCCTATAGTCCTACTCGGACTTTTTTATAATGGAACGCCACAGCCCGACGGACAGCAGAGACTAGATCAGAGACTAGATACCTACCTACTGAATGTCTTGGCGGTCCCAAGTAACAACGCCATACGTAAGGACATATTTACGACGATGGATGCATAATCTTCCAAAGTCCATATGAGGGCAGGCCGCATGCTCAGGCTGAGCCTCCCTGCTTCAGGTCTTTCGATGTTCAAGCATATCGTGTTAGACCGTGGGGAAAGTCAATTTTCCTGCCTTCTTACTACTACCTAATACGACCTAAGAATGAACTAGATCCAGAATACTTCATTTGCTCTCCTAGACCTGAAGCCCATCCATGCTTACAGCTTACAAGGCTAGAATCCTTTCAATATAATGGCTGTCAGGGAACGCGCGTCAGTAGTCTGATCAACTTACAGCACAAGGCAATGTGAGCATCGGATTATCATTGCATGGCTTGTCATGTGTGAGAAACCACCGCCGGCTGTCGGATTTCATATTTCTTGTGAATCCTTCATACACTCTCAGCACTCTGTAATCGGATATCGGTGCTTGTGGAGATGTTTCTAGATGTTATAGAGGAAGAACGAACGATTTTACGAAGAGGCAGTGTTGATCTACTCCTCCCGTACCGTAATTGCGTTGCATCCGACCCCACGAGGCCGTCTATCAGCTTACTATGGAACCTCTCAGCATCACCCCACGTGTTGAGATTTGTGGTCTCCTATCCCTTACCCGTAGTCCACAATTTGACAACAACCCTTGAGTTCTGGCTTTAAACCGGGCCAAACTATGATTGCATACCCATATTCTGTCAAGGACTATCTAGGCACCAGCTTTTGCTCTGATTCTGGGGATTTGCATCCTTTGGTTCCACTTGGAAGCGCATCCTTCAACGGATGTTCAGACAATGTGAAAGATGACAACATCTCGGTAACTGATGGCAACATATCGAGATGTATAAGAAGAGCCAGTCAGTCTGTCAACGGACCGTTCAATTCACAAGGTCAACCACCATCTTCACATTCACCCTTCAACCAAACCCATAACTCCCAAATCCAACCTCTTTCAAACCACCAAAATGCGCTTCACCGCCCTCCTCCTCACTTCCCTCGCCACCATGGCCCTCGCATCCCCCGTCGCCGACGCCAACACGGACTTCAACGTCGACGCTCTCGAAGAGCGAGCCCCCGTCAACGTTCTCTGCTCCTGCGCCGCCACCTCCTCCTGCGGCTGCAACAGCGTCATCGCCGGCTCCTGGTGCGTCTGCAACGGCGACGCCAAGGGAAGCTGGAACGCCGCGCCTTGCCAGGGCAGTACTTCTTGCGGATGTTCTGGGTTGGGCAAGTGGGGTGTTTGCGAGGTGAGCTTTCTTGATTAATCTACTGTTTGACGATGAACGAGCTAATGGGGTATGATTTGCAGATTCTCTAAACGGATTCTTTCTGCCAAGGCTTATAGCCACATGGAAATTGTGATGGATTGTAGTTGAGGTTGCATATCCATCGTTTTGATTGATGAAAGGCTCAGAATAGGAGTGTTCGCTGTTGGGGCTGTGGAACTTTCCACATCCTTACGTAAATATTTGAGAGACACAAAAACTAGGTGGCACGCCAAGAATGATCAATAAAGACAATCCGATCTCGGCACTTCTTACAAAGGCTAATCGGGTTGACGTTGTCGTCAAAGCAAGTAATCATTGTTGGATATCTGAGTAACTGGATCTTGAAACTCCTATCCTCGTATCCTTCCCACGCTACAGACGCCATTTTATATCACGTAGAAGCCAGAAGCAATACCATGCGTCCATGCCTGAAGGCTCTATAATGCAAGGCAGGTAGAAAAGTCCCAGGTTCGCCGTCGCTTTTCCCTTAGAAAGATAGCGCAAATCACAGCGCAGCTGTAAAAGCAGGCGTGAGGCTCACTATTAATCGCGTCTTGGCCATCAACACCCTCGACGGTATCACCGCAAAGCTGGGCTAATAAGAGATCGTCCATATCAGCTATAGCCGAGTCCGCAAACGGGTCGTCACCATCGCCCCCGCCGGGAATGTTTGCGGGGTCTTCGATCGTGCCCAGACCAGGCCTGGCGAAACGTTTAGCGGTCTGCTCCAGCTTATGGTACATCTCTGCCCGCAGCAGTCGCTCAGCACGAGGAAGGCCGGTGGGCTTGGGGTCTTTGTCGACGCCAATGAGAACATGCAAGTAGTCACGAGCAAGCAAGCTGTAGATATCCTGGACTTGCGTGGTCAATTCGTCCTGGAGTCGTCGACATAGGCCCTCAAGCTGCTCCTTGACGCTATCAGTGGAGCGGCGGAACATGGTATCGCGGGAGGTCTCGACGTGGCTGACCATTTGGTATTTCATGCGTGCGTAGGAACCAGGGCCTAGCAATAGTTAGTTGGGTGGGCTTGCGGAACAAGCAGAGATAATCTGTCTAGCTTACCTGACTCCGCGATACAAATATCATAAGCCGGTTGCATCTCCTGTTGAACGACAGGATGAAAACCGCGGCTAGCCTCACGCTGCAACTCTTGAACGACGGTGTGAAGTGTCCCAGGGATCTCCCGGAGCCGGGCGGTGTGAGCTCGCAATTGCGTACTCAGCATGTTGATGCCGTTGTAATCGGCACCTAGCTCTTGAGATCGTGCAATGACGCTGCCGTGAAAGGCCTCGAGTAGAAGACGAGCGTTCATAGCGAAGCCCTCAAAGGCCGATGGCAGTCGACGTTGGAAAGCTCGCTCCCAGCCACTCGCTAGCTGGCGAGAAATTGGCTCGAGCAGCTCTGCGTTGAAGTCGCGAGGACCAGACGCGCCGGTGCAGACTCCCGCCCGGCGGCAGGTTGCCTTGTAGGTGGCCCAAAACATCCCACCCTCGCTGCGATGAGCACCCCAGCCAGATGCTATAGGGCCAGCCGCACTGGTTGCCATCGGAATCGACAAGTCAAAGTAGTCGTAGATGCTCTCCGAGAGCGCGTCTTTCACGGATGCGATGCAGTCATCAACTGCTTTAGCAAAGTCCTGTTGGGTGTTAGCCATTGGCATTTAGAGGAAGATGAGCGCAAATCACCTTGTCTAGGGTAGCAAGCTGCACACGCACACGGGTCCCCTCACTCTGCAACTCTCGTCGACTCAAGTGAGACCGCGATCCATCGTTGGCAGCCCACATTTTCATTGAGTTGAGCAGTTGTCTGAGTTCGGTTAGGAAACGACGACCACTAGCAGCGCGGCCGCCTTCAGTGAGCTTCTTGGCGTGCTGCTGGAGTTGAGGAACCTCTGTTTCGTTGACATCTCGGAAACCATCGTTGTTGAAATCATCCTTCTGCAACCGTCCCCGCATCTTCTGGTAAGCGCGGCTGCTCACGCAGAAGACGGGCAGGTTCCGAGCGACCTTGTCGTAATCACGGATGTCCTCATCGGGATTGAATGTGTCTTCATCTTCCTCGATTGCAGCCTCTTGATCCAGCCTACACAAATTAGCCTGCGTTCAACCAGTTGAGAGTTCAATTGACTTCCTCCTTGATACCCATGGCAAAGTCACGCTGAATGGCACCCTTTGAGTAGGTATTTCTGCCCTGGATACATACCGCCTTGGCTGCTCCAAGCAGCCGCTCTTCCTCTGCCTGAATGTTCTTGATCTCCTGCCGAATGTTGGACAGCGTAGCATCCACCTCCTTGCGCCTCTGGCGAATTTCCTTCTTCTGGTTCTTGAGATCAGCTAGCTTCTCCTGGATCTTAACCTCCGTCAAAGGATGCCGGTTCTGGTTGTCGGGGTTGTTTTCCTCATCACTATCCGAGTTGTAGTCCTCATCATCTGACTCACTGCTACTGGAATAAGACGATTTGCGTTTCCGACTCTTGGACGAAGTGGCTCCACGTTTGCGTTTTCTGCTCTCTGAGGGGGCAAAGACGGTCTGCCCATCCGCGTGTTTACTGAAGAGGTCGTCCCACTTATCCCAAAGCGTGTCGATTTGCTCGAGGCCGTCAACGAGGTCCGACTTCTCCTCCCTGGCGTCATTGAGCATTTTCTTGCGTTCTCTAAGTTCACCGCGTAGCTTCTCGATCTTTGACCAAGAGGCAGAGATGTCAGATTCGATATCGAGACTTTCGGCAGCCTCAGTCACTGAAATGTCGTCGGTTCTGGAGCAGATGAATGTAACAGCTGAGTAAATGCCATCATACTTGAGCTAGCGCTTGAACGAGTCACCCAGCAGTGATTTGGCTGTCTTGTCGTCGACGGCTCTGTTGATCGGAGCCACGATCCAAAGACCGGTGCATGCCTTCATGTAGTTCTGTGCCACAGCGGCACGAGCTGCGTTGGAGTCCTGGACACCGGGAAGGTCTACAATGACGGCACCAGTGGACAGGGCATTTGCCTTGGTGAATATCCGGACGACCTTAATCAGGGGCCAAAATTCCATGGGGACGTCCTTCTTGTGCGGGTTCTTCTCTTTGCTGTCCACATAACGTTGCATGCTTGCATACAAGTCTTTGGCCGTGGGTGCCCTCAGCTTCTTGACGCTGCCAAGAACACGGGCGACAGCAGGCTCGCTGGCCAATCGGTCAGGGTCGCTTTGGGCGATCATCTCTTTTGTTTTGTTGGGGTAAACGGATTTGATCTTGGCGTAGGCAATGCCAGCCTCGCTGTCCTCGTTGGCGCATTCGTGTGAAATGTTGCCGCTGTCGTCGAGGAGATCGGTGAATAGAGTCTTGAGCTCCTTCTTCCAGTCCTCGATGAGATGAACTCTATCTCTGAGCGATAGAGCTCCTCGGGTTTCTCAGAATCGTTATAGGAGATTTCGGTAGGAGAAGCGGTGTAAGCACGCAAGCAGTTGGTCGGTAAAAGTCGCTCCTCATCGAGCAAGGCGTTGATGACAGAGCTCTTGCCAGCGCCTGTGTTGCCCACGACACCAACAATTGTTTTGGACGGCCGAGAGCGGGCCTTGAGGTCTTCAATCGCCTTGACCCATGTCATAGCCTGCGTGCCTGGGAGGGAAACAGTGAGGCTGAGGGGAACCTTGAGACTTTCGAGGACCTCCAAGCCGATTTTGACACCTTGTTCAAGGATATGGGGGGGAGGTTTCTGTTGCCCATTGTTCTAGGAAATCGGGCACTTCATCTTGAGGAGCAGGCTGCTCACGTTCTTCGATAGAAGCTGGAGCATCGTTGGCTGGAATGGCGGAATTGACAATGGGCTCAGCTTGCTCTTGCTTGACGGCTGTAATGGAAGCTGGCTCAGGCTTGATATAATGGACAAGGGCGTTGGGCTGAGCAGTTGCCGAGGCTGGAGCAGCGGCGGACGCCGACGAATTTGAGCATCTTACCGAATGCTGCAGAGCCGTGTCCGGGCTCATGGGCAGGTCATGCAAGTTGTGATCCGGCCGCTCGGCCTTGACGCCCTCCATCTTGATTGGAGGCATCGTGAGATTGGTTTACGTGTGACGTGAGAAGTGACTAAGCCGATTTGGTCGACATGTGAGGCAAAGCGACCGTAGGTCGACACTACTGGAGTTGTGGCCGAAGTGCATGTAACGACTGACCGAAGATCTGACTCATGAGATTTTGTGCGAGCGGGATGTCGTCAAGCAATTCTCGGCGGATCGTGGTGACTTCAACGGCGTTGATTAGTGAGACGCGACGGGACGAGAAGCAATTAGTTTTCGCGTCTTGGGCGGGGCATCAAAGCACACGGCAGGAACACCTCTGGAAGATGGAAGCCGCCATCCCTGTACGTACCCCTGTCCTCCCCTGCAGAGAGGAGCCCCTTCCCATGGTTCCTTCGGTACTCACAGATCACGTGCTTTTGTTCCAATACTTGGCTATTTTGATTGGTCAATTGCTCAAAACGGATTTTGACTGTCCTTGAAGTCGGAATGCAGGTGCAGTAAACATGTGCCTTCCATTGCGAGGTACCTTATCTATCTCATCATCACGGCCTAATTACCTAAACTGGAAGTCATCGAGGGAGAACTTGGATAGAAACAGCAGGAAGGTGCTTGCGATTTGAGGCTCTGCTCGAAACTCAAGGCAGGAGAGAAGATCGGCAATAGGCCAAGGGCAAGTATTGTCTTGGGGGACGAGGAGGTATCAATCAGGTAACACAAGGTTGCAATTGTATTGATGACATGAGATTCTATCTCTTAAAAGATGATATGCATACCGAAAGCACCTGGGAGATGGAGCAGGCAGTGAGTAGTAAATACGTCACCTCGAATGCGAGGTTCTCGGCGTCCCACACAGATTTCGGTGAACCTCGGTGTAACGGATGTACAGTGAGGCGTCTGACTCGCGACCTCCCTAATTCGTATTCGGTGTTGCCGAGGCGCAATTGAAATTCCTCACGATATCTTTGTTTTTCCGTTCCGCCGGCTGATTTCTCCATGATATTGTCTTGGCCCAGCCCATTCGAGGATTTTTGGATAAAAACTCAATTGTAGCCCAGATTTGTCTGAGACAAGTGACGATCATCAGCCCTCAGTCCTCACCGACGATAACGCCGCTTTCCCCACCCCCGCTCGTTCTCGCCCTTCCCCCGTCTCAGCCTCCCCTAACAATCCACCCACACACACAAACAAGCTTCCAACAACACCTCACCAGCCACCAGACGCACACCCTTACCTTCCTCAAAGACCACATCATTCCAACAATGGGCTTCATCGGCGCAACGGCAGCAGGCCTCATGGCCGGCCTCCACGGCTACATCCTCGTCTTGGAAATGTTCCTCTGGACCTCGCCCCGCGGCCGCAAGGCCTTCAGGCTCACCGCCGACTTTGCCGAGAAGACAAAGGCCTTGGCCGCCAACCAGGGGCTCTACAACGGCTTCCTGTCCGCCGGCCTCGTCTGGGGTATCGCTCATCCCGTCCCCGAGTTTGGACGCCAGCTCCAGCTCTTCTTCCTCGGCTGCATCGTCGCGGCTGGCGCGTATGGTGGTGCGACGGCGAACCCGCGCATCTTCTTCATTCAGGCTGTTCCGGCTCTGGCTTCTATCGGTGCCGTTCTTTCGGGCTACTAAGATGCGGATGAGCAACGTCCGGGGCCCGTGGTTCGGTGGTGATTAGTTTGTTTGTTTTGGAGAAAGCTGTGGCTTGGATGAGGAGTGAGACCGTGGCGTACTGGGAGGACGGCTTGTGTAACCCGATGCGAGCTGCTGCGTATGGGAGGGGATAGGAATATCGGCTCGAATTATCTACTGTATTAACTACTAGCGACTACCTGATAGAGATCAACGGCCATTCGATTATTACTTGCAACGCTGCCATATCATGATACACAGGGCTTGAGATTGATTCTATTCACCGGTGAAGTCATCAGAGCTCTTCTTTCTCTCCACGCTTGCGTCTCTCCTCAGCCCTGAGTTCTTCCTGGTAAGCCGCCTGCTTGTCCGTCCTCTCCTTCCTGATCCGGGACTCTTCCCTAAAGGCCTCCATCTCCTTCAAGTGATCCGTCTCGGTGTACTCCTTCGCCTGCTCATCCGGGTCGACCCAGTCATACGGTACTCGCTCAGTGATAAGATCGCGGTAGACGGGCTTGAACCCCGGGTTGCTCGCCAGCTTCCCTCCCTCAACATTACGCCCGGTCTTGACAATGCCGTCACTGAAGAGTGATTTCCAGAAGTCGCGGCTCTTCTCCGGGGTCGTCTCGACTGGCACCCAAGCCATCGGCTTAGGGGGGTGGTCTCTGAGATACGACACGGCGCGATCTCTGCGCTTGCGATAGGCCTTGTACTTGGCATCTGCCTCAGCTTTCTGCGCTGGAGTCAAGTCTAGCTTCGAGGAGCCTGCCTTTTGACCGGACGCGATGCCTTGTCTGGCAGCCAGCGGTGGGAGACAAGTGGTATCGAACCGGGCATCCCATCGGTCTGGCTTGTCGCTGGCTGCAGCAAGAGCCGACCAGTGGCCGTGAAGCTTCTTGGCACGCCCATGTAAGTCGTGGGGCTCCTCTGGGATAGGACTGTGATGTCCGCCACGATTGGCAATGGCCATGATGGTCCTGTCGACGCCGGTCTCTTGGATGACTAGCCAGGTGACATCTTGCCGGGTCTCTAGGTTATGTAGCATGGCAGAGAAGGAATCGTAGTCATCATCTGGGAGCGAGGTCGGGAGCATGCCGTCTCGGAGCGTGTCGCTGATGAGAAGCACCTCCCGGAGCGTTGAATGGACGGCCGAGTCAGTCGGGAGGTCCCGCCAGGGATTCGTGGCGGCGTAGTCCTCCTTGCTCGGTCTGGATGAGTCCAGTAAGAACGCCCGGATGAGATAGAGACCGACCCCAAAGAGGGCCCAAAATCTCACTTGTCGACTTTTGAAGAAGGCAATGAACATTCGTTTAGGAGCGCCATGATCGGCAAATTCTTGGTGTAGCAATCCGGACTGCGACATCTCGTCTGTGGCGAGTCAACGGTTCCTATCCTTTGGTCTTCCGTCGTTGAAGATGATGAGATGTCGTTCAACAAGTACCGGTAATGTCGTGCAGACGAAACGCTGGGGAAGTGCCCGTGATAAGACTGAAGTTAAAATCAAGGAGTTGTCTGAGCTTCCAGGTTTGAGATGACTGGGCAGGCAACCTCACACTAGCGTGTCGGAGCCGGCTCGGCCGATACAGCATGGTGGGAAACATCAATATCACTGTCCAATTCTCATAAGAATGGAGTTTAGATGACAAGGCATGCGTAGGAGCTGCAGCACGTGGGAAAGGCAGGATAGCGCTGCTCGTTCGCAAGAAGCTATGATTTTCCCACAGCGACTCAGTTTTGCGAGTTGCATTGTCGTTTAGGGCGGGCTCTCTCACAAAATCTCAATAATGGCTGGCTTTAGTGAGAAGGTCTGTTCACAGGATCTATTTGCAGCGACCGAGTAATGTCGAGGTTGATGAGAACACCATGAGGTCGTCTCAACGTACGAGCATGACGTTCGCGTCGCACTAGGAAGGTGAGCATATCGCAGGAACGAGGGGGAACCAACATCAACGTCGTCTCGTTTTCTTGCGTGTGATCGTCTCCTCCTTCCACCCCTGCACAGGAAACGGCTGCCATTACGATGCTGTTTGGCCGCATGAAACAGGCTAGAACATTTAAACTCTCCCTTGAGCTTGTTCGAACAGTCTTGTCCAATGAGGCTAATGGAGGGGGCTAGGGATGCGAGTCGTGGTGAGGTGAGACTGGCTGGGCGCGAGACATGAGATGAGATGAAGAGGCGGGCGGCGTGGAGACTGAGTGAGTGCATGAGCATGAGGGAACAGGTGAGAGGTTGTTGGATGAGATGCGGATACCCGGAAGGACTGGATTCTATTAAGTGACATTCCTTTTTTTGGTGAGTTTCCGTTATTCTCCCTCGCTTATTGCGTTGTGGTTTCTTTTGCTCGCCGTCTGCATACGTGTCTATTATTCAAGTCATTGTCAACAACTGGCAAGATAGATACTCCGTCCTCGTCGTATGGATCGTCACCCGACAGCTCTTGAAAAAGCACAAGGGGCTACTTTAGATAGGCAGCCAGGTTTAGTGTAAAAGACCAGTGAGCTCTAGGGGATGACCCCTGAAAAGTTTAGCCAGATTTTAGCATCCGATCCAGGTGCTAATCCCAGCCCAAGCCCTGCAGCAAAGCCCGATGGCTCCAGGTCGGACAGGACTGGCTGCCCTGCCTTAATTGTCCGAGCTCTTGCCCTGCGTCCAACGTCAGTGTGGACGCCCCAGGGTGGGGTCACGTGTGACGCACGTGATGCAACCATCGTCATTCCCTCTTGCAGTTTAGGTGCCTGCCTTACTGCGTATCCGTAGCTACTGCCTGACAATTGGGGGAAGGTGCTGGGCACGAGGCTCACAGCCTGGGAAAGCACCGGGAGAGGACGGAGAGGCAAGGCCAACAAGACGAGTAGGAGCATTGCATTCCTTCATGAAAACAGGCAGTAGCAGCGTAGCATGTGCCTACTTTAACATAAACTGTACCTTCCTCATACACAAGTCCAAGTCTCAACGTCATCCGCTCTTACCTTCCTTCCCCCGGTACTTCCATCCAGAAAAACGTGTGGCCGGGACCGGATAAACCACGGACAACTCCATTTGGGGGCTTAGCGGCTGTCCTGTCCCCACAGTTCCTCCCTGGTCCACACCATCGTGGGTCCTTCCGAGCTGGCAATTTTCCTTTCAAACCTTTGATTTTTTCGACGAGACAGCTCACCCTCCTCACCCACCCTCGCACGACGAACCGCATACGCTCGCGAACCGACCTCTCGGTATCTCGATCAATCCATCGTTTAGCAAGCCTGATATCAGCTACCTGCATCCCGCATCACTTCACGTGTATCATCATCTACAGCCCGTCGCGCGCCGACTATCCCACAACTCAATTACAGAATCTCTTTCGTGACTTGTCCACGACAGATCGATCAGCAACTACCGAACCACCAAAAAAATACCACCACCCCTGCGCGCTGTTTGCACCCCCCAAACACTTGCTCATCACAAAATACCTTCATTGCGCATAATTAACCATGCCTTCGAATCTACCATCAAGCTTCGCCTCGGCCGCCGCCGGCCAAAACGCCAACCGCGACGCGAGAGGCGGTCGACAGGACGGACGTGGAGCTGGCAGCGGGGAATGGTTAGTGACTTTCCGTGTTTCGCCCAACCCCCATCGCCACCCTGCTATTTTCTCCTTTCCCTGTTCGCGCTTTGGTATCAAGAATCGACGTTGGTGCTTGCCTGATATTGGTGATGGTGACTTGATGTGCCGCCACCTCGATTGGCTCTCGCCACGTCGTCGCAATGTCGCCAGATATCAGGATGCACGGCACGGTCAAGATATAAATGAGAGCTTCTACTAACACCTTAAGCAGGACTCGACGTGACGGTAGAGTTAACGGCACCCTGACCTTCCGACGATCCTCGACGACTCCCGGCCAGCCATCCCACCCCGCAGCCTCGTCCGAAAACGCCTACTCCTCGACACCGCTCGATTCCGGCGCAGTTCCTCAGACACCGGGCGCTGCGACGTACGACTATCCACCCCCTTCACAGTACCAGAAGGACTCGATTGTCGGTGTGTACAAGAACGGTGCGGCGGAAATAGACGCTTCCAACGTGTTTGAATCGGGATGGACTCCGGGACACACAAACGGAAGTGCTGCGCGAGGCTGGGGAAAAACCAACAATAATCACAATTCGCAAGATCCTGCTGCCTGTTGGAACAACCGGGGCGACAGTAACCCCGTTGCTGTCAACGGCATGTCTGAAGAGGAGAAGGAGGTGCGTCGGTCACTGGGAGCAGGTCACCAGGTAAACGATACTAATATGAGACAGGCATTCGCGACCGATGTCAACTCTACTCTGAAGCCTCCTATCCAAAATAAGGAGGGTACCCAGGGACCGGGACCGAATGGGCGCAAGGCTTCTCTATCGCATGGCAGCGCCGCTGGATACGGATTGCAGTCACCATCGTCTGCCTCAAGACCTGGAACCCGGCGCCGAGAGACGACGGATTCCAACCCTTTTGGCAGCGGTCCCCTCGCTTCACCGAGTGCCACACGATTCGCTCGCGATGACCAACAGTCTTTCCTGTTTGGTCGCAAGAATAACGATGTCAAGGAGCAGGAGCCAGGCGAGGATGAAGGTGCTGCGCAGCCGCAGAGCAAGCCGCCCTTTGGAAACCTGACGCGTAGCAACACGGCGGGTAATCCTTCCATGGGTGCCAATATCAGTTCTCTCTGGGGATCTTCTCAGACACCTTCGGCTGGGGGTGCTGTTAGTGGCGGTGGCGGCGGTGGCATGGGTAGTTTCGGCCAATTCGCTTTGCCGACTCCAACTTCGACTATTGGTGGTGGCAACCGTGGTGGAAGTCGCTTTGCAAACCTCATGAACAAGGAGGGCACCGAAAGCCCCGCAAACAAGCCCAACGAGGCTTCGACCCCAGAAGCGACCCGATCTTGGCGATCTCGGCCCCGGACCGACACTGACCCCTTCGGCGGAGACGACAACCTGTCAGGCAGCGCCGCACTGGGAGGCGCTCAAGACACTAGTCCCCCGCCAATGCCCAACCCTAGCAACATTGGGATGTTTGAGACACCGGTCAAAGGTTCGACGGGAGACTTTGGCATGTCTGGACTGAACCTGGGACGCCCTGCGGAAAATGAGCCAGGGCCCGCGAGCCCGTCGGAGACGAATCCGTATCGCAGCCCACCGGCCGACCGAAACGAATCGCAGGAGGAAGGATCAGGCGAAAAGCATCACGGCGGTGTGGCTGTCGGCGCTGAACAAAATTCTAGCTTCGGCACTGTGTCGCGCGGCTTCCCGACTCATGCTTTCGACGGGAGCGACCGTAGTCAGACCAGCAGCGCTGGGCCCCGAGGTTACGCCTCAGGCTGGCCTGTACCTTTGTCTACAGGTACTCCCGACCGTGAGCGGGCCGGCTTCGGCGGCGTTTTTGGCAATGCCCTCTTTAGTCCCATGGGCACTGATCTCCAGTCTCCAGGGTTGTCGAGCATTGGAGCTGGCGTCTTCGGCCCGGCTAGTGCTGGTGGCTTCGGTGGCCCCGGTACGATCGGTCGCAGTAAGCTGGGTTCTCTCTTTCCAGCTGCCATGCAAGCACAAATGCAAGGACACGAGCAGGAGAACTTGAGTGACTCGTTGCCCGACCTTCGACAGAGCAATCCTCTCGGCGCAATCGGTCGCAACAATTTCAATGTTGCGCCAAGGGACACTGGAAGCCCCCTGCGGAGTGGCCGCGGAGGAGTCTTTGAGGAAATGTTCCCCTCTGACCCAACCCGAACCCACAGTGGTTTCGGAGGTTCAGACCACCCTGGCGCTGCGGGCATCGGTCACCCCCAAGCATTCACCCCCGGAGCATCCACCGGAGGCGAATTCGGATCGACTCCGGTGCGCCAGATGGTCATGCCTGACCGTATGCGCTGGGTCTACCTTGACCCTCAAGCACAGGTTCAGGGCCCTTTCAGCGGTCTGGAGATGAACGACTGGTACAAGGCCAACTTCTTCACCCCCGATCTGCGAGTCAAGAAGGTCGAGGACCCTGAGTTTGAGCCTCTTGGACAACTTATCCGCAGGATTGGAAACTCTAGAGAGCCTTTCCTCGTTCCCCAGATTGGCATCGCCCATGGCCCCCCGTCTCAAGCCGGACCGTTCTCTCCCAGCGGCGGCAACACTGGCGTCATTCCTCCCCTCAGTGGTGTCTTCCCCAGCTTTGGTAGAACTTTGACTGCGGAGGAGCAGAACAACCTGGAGCGCAGGAAGCAGGAGGAACAGCAGGCAATGGCACAACAGCGAGACTTTATGATGAGGCAGCAAGCTATCACCCGACTGCAAGGTCAAGGCCCAGGTGGTGTCCCAGGCTCCTTGCACCATCAGCACAGCGCTCACAGCTTGCAGAGCCAGCCTAGCTTCGGTAGCATGTCCTCACCGATTGGTCCTCACACGCAGCAGCCGCCCATCGGAGGCGGGGCTGGACCGACGTCTGGGTTTTTTGACTCAGCTGCCCAGCAGGGATCTACACAACCCCCTGTTGGTTCCGGACTCGACCATTTTCGTGAGGAGGAGCTTGCCACACTGAACGCTTCCGAGCGCCAGATGCTTGCGAACGTTCAAGTCCCGCCCAGTCTTACAGGTCTTTTCACTCAACAGCCGGTCGGCGCTCCCGCAAGTGAGGGCAACCTCCGGAACCACCTTCCTGGCACTGAGCAGCTGGAAAAGGACGAAGAGGGATTCCGCGAGCGCTTGAAGGAATTCGAGGACATCCGTGCCGAACGCGACTCCGAGCAGTCTCAAGAAGCTACGACCAGCCAGAGCATCCAGGAGGATGTTGCCCAAGATATGTCCGCACCGGCCATCGCCCAAGCTATTAGCAACGAACAGCACAAGTCGTCACCCGCCCCTGGCATGAAGGAGATCATGGAGGAGGAGCATCAGCTTTCTTTGACTCAACGGGTCCAACAAGCCCAGGCTGCTGCCGAAGCTGCGAAGAATGCCGCCGCTGGCCTTCCCATGCCGTTTCCTCCCCCTTTGCCTGCGGCTGGAACACCTCTTCCGGCTCCCACCGCCCAGCGTGTCCGTTCCAACCTGCCTGAGCAGTACAACCGTTCTCAGACTGGAACTCCTGACACTGGGTCCGCTACTGAGCCCCCACCATTGGCTCCTTGGGCGAAGGAGGTTGCGAGTCGCAAGGGACCTAGCCTGAAGGAGATCCAGGAAGCCGAAGCGCGCAAGGCTGCCAAGGCCGAGGAGCTTGCCGCCGAGCGCCGCCGTGTGGTCCTCGAGCAAGAAGCTGCGGCTCTTAGAGAGCGCGAGAAGGCTATTGTTGCTGCTACCGGCCTGCCTACCACCAGCACCTGGGGTAACGGCTCCCCAGTGGCCGCCGCCAGCCCCTGGACCAAGCCTGCCGTTGTCAAACCTACTCCGGGCACCAGCACCCCCAGCAAGCAGAAGACTCTTGCCGATATTCAGCGTGAGGAGGAAGTCAGAAAGCTCAAGGCCAAGGAGGTTGCCATCCAGACAGGACTAGCGACTGTTGCTGCCGGCAAGCGTTACGCCGACCTTGCAACCAAGCCCAATGCCGCTCCTGGCCTTGGACAGCCCAGCACGCCCGCCCCGGCTCCTGGTCCCGGCTGGGCCACCGTTGGAGCCGGCGGTAAGGTCAAGGTGCCTACTGGACCTGCCTCCCAGACGAGATCTGTCAGTGCTACTGGCGTGAAGCCGGTCCCGGTCGTCGCCAAGCCGGCGGCTAAGCCTGTCGTCACGGTGGCTGCGGCTGCTCCTGCTAAGGGCAATGTTGCAATGGACGAGTTCAACAAGTGGCTCCACCATGAGCTGTCCCGCGGCCTTAATGGAGTTGATGGTGAGTCTTCCAGTCGATTCAGATGCGAAATTCAATGCTAACATCCTGTCTAGTGGACACTTTTGCCGACATCCTTGTTGAACTGCCCCTTGAGGACGGTATCATTGCAGACGCCGTTTACGCTAACTCTAAGACGATGCATGGAGCGCACTTTGCTGAGGAGTTCGTTCGCCGCAAGAGACTTGCCGACAAGGGCATTGTTGAGAAGCAAGGCGCTGTTGACAGTAAGACGGGTAGCTCTTCTAGCGGATGGAACGAGGTTGCCAAGAAGGGCGGCCATAAGGAGCAGCCTCCTGCTGCCACTGGAGACGCTGGCATCCAGGGCGCCGGCTTTAAGGTTGTGCCCACCCGCAAGAAGGCGGGGAAGAAGAGCAACTAGGAGCAGCCTGCTACCAAGACAGCGGGAAGAAGAACAATTAGGAAATACTGTGGGACTCCCGCGGCGGAAGATGGCCTGAGAATAGTTAACTGGACGATGCTTGGCGATGGTGTCTCGATGGCGAAGTTGTGGCTCTGGATTACTGTTATTGGTTCACAGCGTCATGTAAGCGGTCTATTGTAGCGATAGGTAGCATGTCAGAAAGCATTGTTGTCCGTGCTTGAGTGTTCATAAATTGCGTTGCAGCTTTCGACTATTGTGCCGTTTTATGTGATGAGTGTCGAGGAGTTGATGGAGGTGAAGGTGAGAGTGTACGTGTACCTGAGGTCATCCACGAGGTGAGATGAAGATGTTTTCGGTGAGATGCGAGGTGAGTGAGCCGCTTATGTAAGGAAGTAGGTGAAAATTTGCCCCGCCCCCACCATGGAAAACTCGATTTCACAGGGCATCGAAACACACCGAATTCACCGTCTGAGTCACTTATTCTTCAACCAAGACGAGCATTATCGCTGTTGATCTTCTAGACGGATTCAGACTGCAAGGAAGCCAAGTTTTCTGTCATTGGATATTTTCCATTCCGAAAAAGGGACGTCATTGAGGATTTTCTTTTGGCGAAAATACCCCGCAACGCGCGGGGCAGAAAATAAAGGTCACTTATCGCGACCCAGAACCCCTCCATATCACAAGCGAGACGCAACAGTTTCTCTCAAGTTCGAATACACCATTCAAGCCATGGCGGACGCGCAAACGAACTGCAGCCAGGCCGCGGCCTCTTTACTGTCTAGCTTCACAGACGGCGCATATATCGACGTTCTAACGTCCACCGTGGCCAAGGATCTCGTCACCAGGTTCACCAGCAGCCTCCAAGCTCAGACCGCCGAGGAAAATGCCAACCCCACACAAGCATCACAAGAATCACTATCGGAACATGAGATCGCCGTGGGTCTCTCTGCTCTCAACGCATTCTTGCAATCAAACGTCACGGGACCGGTGCTGGAGAACGCTCACAAGGTAGAAGCACTCTTCACTGAGGCCTTCACAGCAGGCAGCGACGGAAAGCCATCATCAGCGGACACCCTCAAGGCACTGCGCAAAGGCAGCCTCACGGCCCTCGAAGTCGACGGTGTCTCACCCTATCCTTACATCCCGCACATTGAGCTCTTTGCGCTCGCCCGCTATGTCTTCCACGAGGCTTCCTCGGCCAGCGACGCCTTCATCCAGCTCACTTCCTCTTCACCCCGCCTGAGTCTGCCTTGGACCCGCCTCCGCGTCAACATGTGGCACTTCAAGCTCCTCAGCCAGCCGTCCCTCGGCCCCGGCGCCAACTTTGCAAAGGCGTCGCAGTGGATCGACGTCCCGACGCTGGCTGAGCAGATTAACCTCGGCATCGAGACCGTCAGGAAGCAGATTCTCGATGAGGACGTGTGGTCGACGAGCGAGGAGGTCTGGTCGCGCGAGGAAAAGGTGCAGTTCTTGCTTGAGGTGTCGAATACGCACATCATGCTCGGCCGCGATGATCGCGCGCGCGAGGCGCTTGAGGAGGCGACCAAGTTGAATAACTTTGCGTATGCGCTTTCTGGTGCGCTAGGAAAGAGGACGAAGTTCCAGGAGAAGAGCACGAGTCAGCTTGTTGTTCTGGCAAAGAGCGATGCGACGGCCGAGGGTGCGGAAACTGCAGCCGATGGCGAGGAGGCCAAGCCTGAGGCTGTTGCGCTCAATGACGATACTCTCCTCGAAGAGATTCAGTTCTCCAAGGAGGCGAGCGGCAAGCATGGTGAGCTCGCTGCCACATCGTCGGGCCTCCCCGCGGCGTTGACGGATTTGTCTCCCGAGGCGCAGCCGCAGCTGTCACCCCTCGACCAGATCATCCTCCTCACTGAAGCAACTCTCAAGGATACCTTTTCTCCCGTCGATACCTTGACCTCAGAGGAAGTCCTCCCGTACGCCGTGCGCGTAGTCTCGGATAAGGCTACAAACTGGCAAATCTACTCGCAAGCCCTCCTCGTCCGCTCCCGCATCGAAGTTCACCGCAGCAGAACAGTCGAAAGAGGTGTCTTGCAAATGCAAGCTGTCGTAGACCAAGTCGTCGTCGACACCTCGGAGGCACCCCGCCCCAAAGCCGAAGACGTCGCCAACGACGAACCCGCCGACGTCCCCGCCATCGCCGTCTCCGCCCCGGGCGAGGCCGAGATCGACACCTCAGCAGCGGCCCCCGTCGACACAGAGAAACCCACATCCTTCTTTCCCGCTGCCAAGGAAACCGATACCGCGCCCGCGCACGTCCGACTGCAGTACATCCACGCGCTCTCCTCCCCTCCGAAATGGCACCTCGAGTCCGAGCTCGCCTACTCCTGGGCCGGCGTCGGCTCCCTCGTCTCCGCCCTCGAAATCTTCAAGCGCCTGCGTCTCTGGGCCGAAGTCGCCCTCTGCCTCGCCAGCAGCGCCTCCAACGACGACGACTCGGGCCGCGGCAACGGCGGCGAGGAGAAGGCCAAGGCGCTTGTGCGCTGGCGTCTGTTCCATCGCACGGGACAGCCTCTCGTCGAGAACGCGGATGCGGATGCGGAGGACCTTGAGGCGCGGGATGTCACGTACCTTAACCCTGCTGATTTCACCGGCCCTGAGAGGAGTCCCCCGCCGCCAAACGCGCCGAGGTTGTTCTGTATCCTGGGTGATTTGGAGAACGAGCCGGCGCACTGGGAGCGGGCGTGGGAGATTTCGAACCGGCGGTTCGCGCGCGCGCAAAAGTCGTTGGGCGAGTGGCATCTTTCGCAAAAGGAGTGGACCAAAGCGCAGGATGCGTATAAGCTCGCGACAAAGTGTAACCGGTTGAGTCCCGAGATGTGGAGCCGGTTGGGCGACATCAGTCTCCGGCTGGGCCAGTTCCCGGACGCCGCGGAGGCGTATAGCCGGGCCATTGGCGCCGCTGGGGATGTTGTTGGTGGCGAGGACGCCAGGACGTGGAGTAATCTGGGTAGTTCGCTTTGGAGCATGTACCTCGAGGCTGTGGAGGAGGTGAAGAAGCAGATTATCGAGGAGAAGAAGAATGGCACGGCGGAAGCCAAGGCGGACACTGGAGAAGATGAAGATGATGAAGAGCCGAAGAAGCGGGAGAGCAAGGCCAAGGACCCGGCTACGCTGCTATCTCAATCCCTGGCCGCCTACAAGCGTGGCGCTTCCATTGCGCAGGATAACTGGCGCATCTGGGACAATGTCCTCACCCTCGCCTCGCGGATGCGTCCGCCCGCCGTCTCGGAAATGGTCCAGGCCCTCCGCGCCATCATCCGGATCCGCAACACCGAGGACGCGCTCGACGACGACGTTCTCCGCGCGCTGCTTCAGGAGAGCGTGCTCACCAAGGAGAAAGAAAACGACGAGAGTAAGACGGGAATCTACAACCCCCCGCGCGGCACCATCGAAAAGGCCGTCATCGCCCTTTTCGAAGAAATTGTCGTCCCGCTCATCACCACGCGCTCGGAGCTCTGGGAACTCATCGTCCGAGAGCGGGTCTGGAGACGGGATTACGCCGGCGCCGTAGATGCCGCGGAGAAGGCTTGGAGGGCGGCGATGGGGGCTGGTGCCGGGGGCGGGTTGAAGGCTTCTTCTGCGGGATCGGGCGGGGCTGGGGACGATTTGAGTCGGAATTGGCTTGCTGATAAGGGGGCTTGGGGAGTTGTTGTTGCGAGGACGGATGAGCTTGTAAGTGTGTTGGAGAACTTTGGGGGCGAGGTTGAGGGGTTAGGGAGCCGGTGGAAGGGCAAGGCGAGGAATGCGGTGAGAAGTGTGATGAGTAGAGGAAAGGAGACGTGGGAGGGGACGGAGGAGTGGGTTTTGCTGGAGGGGATGATGGAGGGGTTGAAGTTGTAGATTCGTATGTGACCAATATCATACGAAACAATTGATGGATAGATGTGAGAATATCAGGGACGTGATGGCGATCGTATTCAAACAATACTGCTGCAACTCACCAACGCTGATGGTTCGGGGGACTCTTAATGTCTATGAATGAGCATATCTGGGAGGATCAGTTCTATCGGTTACTGATGGCATCTACCCGGTCTTCCACCAAGGGCGTTCATCAGTTGCAGAGTGAGGTCATCTCATCAGCAGATTGACCTCTTCAAGATCTGTAGCATCCACCAAAGTCCACCCCGCAAGACCTGCACGGCATGAGTGCCCTCAAACCGGGACCACATGCTCATCATCTAGAAGCTCGTCGATCAAATAGTTTCTGTCGATATACTTCTCAATGCCTCGTATCGGTGAATCTTTTCACGGAATCCTTTCATCTCATCACCTAAACTCACCACAAGTTCGGACGAGCGTTCACTGGAGCAGATTATGAGTCATTCATCAATGCACCGCTTGTTGCTTGCCTCCTGATTGCGTTGGATGGAAATTCCATGCAAATAGCTGCTTAAACTGCCTCATAACGCAAATAATCCTTAAGAAGAAAAGGCCTCGACCGCTATGCTGCCTGGAATCTGGCGTGGGAACGGGCCCGGTTCAGGGGTAGCCCCGGAAAAGCGGGGATGATGGGACCGGGGACATCAGGCAGACTACCCGGGTCGAGCGGCACGGTGCTCGGTAGCGTTTGTTAGTGGCAGTTCTGCCTGGTAATCATTCCCGTCCGATGCCATTTCGATTAGTTTCATCGTTTGAATTCATCCTTGATATTGTATGTTGTCTCTATGTTGTTTCTGAATATAAATGTCAGAGGGTTGGGCCACTGAAAATTCACATTTGGCGTCTCATCAGTCTCTCGTGTAGATCACCATTGCTCATCTTGACCGACAACTTGTCTCTAGATCAGTGCAGGATATGTATATTCGCTACGACAGAAAGAATTATTTAGATTGTCTCTCACTTACTCAAATGCCTCCCGTTGCAGCTCAGGAAGACACCAACATGTCCCTCAGATTCAGCAACTTCACCGACGGTGAGACGGTTCATCAGGTACGCGTAGGATTCATACTGTCAATGAGAGCACATCATACCAACGGAACTCTTCTAACTTCATCCTCCACCAGCGCTGTGTAATCATCAAGGGAACCTACACCCACGACCCCAACATCAGCGATGACTTCGCAACAGTCGAGGCCACCGATGGCACCAACACAACCTTCCCACTCCAAACCTGGCCCATCGCAGACAATAGGATCAAGATCATCGCCCTCCTCTCCCCAGGCCTCAACAAACTCGCCATCACCCGTTCATCCGGCACCCAACACACCACTACGCAGTTGAACCTAACATACATTCCCCTCCTCCAATCGCCCCCCCTCCACCTCGCCATCATGGTCGCAAAGGACTCCCCCCTCCTAATCGACTGCCCGCCCCTCAAATACGGCGCCTCGTCCACGGCCCATGCCTCCCTCGACGCCGCTGTTGCCAAGCTCCGCATGTCAGCGTATATGTGGCAGGCTCTCACCGCCGAGGACATGCGAATCAAGGGCCTCGGTCGTCGGTCCTTCAGGCTGGAGGAGGAATGGGCTGCTGACACGACTAGTAGCGCGTTCCTTGACGGGCTGCACGAATCTGCTCTCTTTGATAGTGGCGCCATGCGGTCTACCGCTAAAGTTCATATCGTGAGATCGGAGAGGACGACAGCGGAAATCCGCGACGCGGAGGTTGCGCAGCAGAACGAGGTCGCAAAGTCGAGGGATGGACTGTTTGACTACTTTCTGGAGGCGCTTGCTGCTCAGGGATCCCCTTTCGAGGCTTCAGCGCATCCGGTTGTGGCGGGCATGATTCTCGACTCGCACTTCTCCGTGAGTAAGAAGCTTATTCTCGGTCACGCCGCGTTGGGATGCCATAACCCGACTGGTGTTTCCCTCGGCATGATGGGTAGTCACCTGGCGTACTCCTGGCCTCGATTCATGGAAGAGGTCTCGGACTGTCTTCTCGATACCCGTGCCCCAGGTACAACAGTCGGCGATGATAACGGAGAATGCGGGACGTTTTGGGAGGCTTGTTCGATCGGACAGGGTGCGTTCTTGCACGAGGTCGGACATGCGTTTGGGGCTCCGCATACGACTGGCATCATGGCGCGCGGGTACTCGGGTCACTGGCCTCGAAACTTCCTGGTCAAGACGGCGTACTCCCATAAGATCAACAAAGAGGGCTTCGTTGTTGTCGATGGCCAGACGGCGAATGACGCCAAGTGGGATCTGCGGGACGCCCTGTCCTTCCGGTCTCTCAACCACTTCTGGCTGCCCGGCGACACGAGACTATCGACAGCGCAGAGATCAAGCGCTCCGACCGTCTCTCTCATCAATATTGAGACTGATGATGTCGGAGTCGAGATTGCCTGTGCCGCCAACCTCGCCCGGATGGAGTTCAACGGCAACTCGGAACTCCTCCCCTCCATGGATAGCCCGGCCTGGAAAGTCTCCTACACCCTCAAAGAACTCGAATCCCGTTTCTCACGCGACGAGAGCCTGAAGCTCTACGTCCTCGGCATGAACGGCAAGACAAAGACGGTGCGCGATCTCTGGCGCCTCTTCTCGTCAACCACGTACATCCGTATCCCCGGGTCAGACGTCCTCCTGCGCAAGCGCTCCGTTGTAACCAAAGATCTCGAGGAGGCGGCGGACGACGGCGAAGAATACAAGTTTTGGTCGTGGGCGACACTGCTTACCCGGCGCAATAGTGATGGGTCTATTGTGCGTGCGACTTCGGTCGATGTACGGACTGGGTGTATTCTCGACGGCGCGTATGTGCAGTTCCCTGGCGGCGCGCGTGTCAACTGTGGTCCGAGGATCAGTAAGTGGGGTGGTGGTGAACATACATTCGGGGGCCATGCGTCTGAGGAGGTTCAGATCCCCAAGGGCGCGGAGATTATCAAGGTTGAGGTGTCTAGGGAAGAGGATACGCTTCGTGGCATGAGGATCCATCTTAGTGATGGTTCGTCTGGTGGTGCTTTGACGGGATATGGGGATGTTCCCGAGACCTCGACTCTTGGTGAGTGATTTGCGCAAGACTGTGATTAGTCAAAAACGTTACTAACTCGATGTGCGCAAAACAGAGGCACAAGCGGACGAACGTATTGTTGGTTTCTATGGCCGCAGTTGGTGGGGTAGCAACTTTGACGGCTTGGTCGAGTTTGGTATCATTACCGCACCCAAGGACTTTGAGCTACCGGCGGTTATGTACGGAATGACGGAACTCCAGAATACGGAGGGGGGACGCGGGGTAAGACTCTTTTGCTCTTGAGTGAGATCATTGAGCACGGGCAACTAACATCTCCTAGGGTGAAGCAGACTTCGAAAGTGGTGATGAGGAGATGGACGACGAGGAGTAGATGGCGACGGCTTCCGGTTCCTGAAGTTGAACCGGCTTTAGAGCATTTACTGACATAATAGCAATTACCGAATGATTGCACACATTATTCCCTTGCTCGCATTGATAACAAGATTACTCGTTTCCCACGATTTTGTCTTCCCACTTGCAATCTCTGTTCAATTTGACGAAGAAATCGCCGACTGTGCTAGCAGCAGCATCTCTTCCTCAACCATTCGTAGTGGATCAAGTGTGCCCGCTTCCTTCTTCAACTCTTCCGCACGTCTTTTGTACTTCTCATCACCCAGAACTTCCACCACCGCCTTTCCAACGGCACCCTCAGACGGCGGTGACTCCGTCAGAAACACACCCAATCCAGACCACTCGATCCTTCTTCCGATGTCTGGCTTATCAAATGTGTTTCCCGCTTGCACCATCGGTACCCCATTAGAAACCGCGTGCTGAAACCCACCATACCCGCTGTTCGATACAAAGACGTCGGCGTGGGCTAAGATGGCGTCATACGGGAAATAATCCACCAGCCGAGCATTGGCGGGCAATTCTTCATTTCCAAACGTGCTTGTGTCGAGAGTTCCTCCGGTTACGCAAAGACACGCGACGACTAGGACATCAGGATATGTCGCCAAGGCCTTCATTGTCGGGATGATGAGCTCTCTGTGGTCCAGCACTTCGGTCCCTTGAGCCACAAACACAATCTTCTTGCGGCTCGGGTTCGATGAGTTGAGAGATGAGCTATTTGCGAGAATGTCGCTGAACCACGTCGGATATTTGAGGTAAGATGGGATGGGTTTGATTGGGAGCGTTCCCGCAAACTTGATCTTCTGCGGCCAGTCTGATGACCGGAACTCAAGACTGGGAAGACACATTTGCAATACTGTGTCGTGACAAGCCGTAGATGCGTCCCAGTAGGGATGCTCTACACTTGCTGAGAGCCCTTCGTAAAGGGACTCGACGGGTTTGGAGCATCCCATCATCCCCAAGACCCATCTCGCGCGATCCTCAGCGGCGCTATTCCACGTCTCTCTGTTCACTTTGATATTCCTCGTCCGCCCTTCTTCACTATCGTCGAAAGGTAGTCCAGATCCCCATGGAGGTCGTTCAGGACTGGCCCAAAATGTCGGAACCACGCCGATACCAATAGTCTGAATAACTTCATCCTCCTCGAATGAGTCGGGTAGGTCAGTGCCCAACTTCAAAGCCAGCGTTCCTGAGAAGCACGTATCTGACAGGACGATGATCTGACAACCAGGCTCTCGACGTCGCATACCCGCTAACGCCACCCGTACCGACTCCAGTCCGCTTGGCAACAGCGAGATGAACCCTCCATCGAGAGACGCGGCCAGTCTCGTGGCTGGATCTGAAGCGTGTGCGATATCTGGCCAACGAGATGGATCGTCAAGGGTTTTCCAGAGCCCGATGATGGGACTGAAGTGGGCCCCTACTGCTTCGATTGTAATCTTCCACCTCTTTGTTCCCAGCACTGTGACGTCGAAGCCGCTGTTGATGAGGTGTTTGGTGATTTGGAGCGCTGGTCGCATATGTCCCTCGCGTGGGGGTACAGCGTAGAGGACTAAAGGCTTGGGTCTTTGCTGGACTAACATTTTGGTCGTTGAAATATCACCAGCTCGGCGAAGATGTTAAGAGAGAGCAGGCAATTCCGTTCTTCCGGACCTCTTGTCAAGTTTGAAGTTGACATTAAGATGAGGTGTCCGGATGGGTCGTCCTCAAACTTTCGTTATCATAGCTTGTTCGACTAGCTGATGGGTCCGGGGTTTAACTGAGATGAAATTGCTGTCTGATAAGCAAGGGTCACTCGATTAAAGCACCCTGGGGTCGAAAATTGAAGCTTGTCTGAGAAGACTGAGATACACGCGAGTCAGCCCAGGAATTAAGAAACAATTGTCGACCATATCTGAACCCAGGAGGACTCGGAAACATCTGACAATGAACACATCCCATTGGTTCCTTTAATTCGGCAGCTTGATGCCAATACATATGTCTGCGATTGCATTTGCCATCTCTACCTGATCAAGAGGAAATGCACTCGGAATTTCCTTCGCTCTCGCCACCTCAGTGATCGCTCGACTTACTGCAGGGGACCCCCTGGAATGTTCTCATCTATTTTGAGTTCAAGCTCGATACGTTGACTGGGAAGGTCGAATTCAGACAGCTTTTGAAAGCCGCCTGACTCGAGTAGTGCGATAAGAGTTGAGATAACTCACATTAACATCTAGCCAGCAAAGAACTCGAGACTAGGTAAGAGGGAGAAGTGGCCCATGTGCCCAGAATACCTTAGATCAAAGAGAGAAACAACTCCCCTCCTAAGCCAACACCATTATTGCAATAACAACTTAGACTAAATGCCAAGCGTAAGCCCTTCTTCTAGATCGAAACTTGGAGGCTTTTGTGGCATTGGTCTCAGCAAGTATAGACTTGTAGGCTACCTTATTCTGGGCGTGGTTTTTCATAGACCTTTCCTAACGTCCATCTCAGCTGAGATAAATTGGGCAAGCACTCAGAATCAAGACCAGAGTGGTTGTTTGAACAGGCCAATGAAGTACCGTCGCGCTTCGTTCTCAGATGGCCAGCTGTATGTAGCCGTCGTTGGCCGAGCTCATGCAGGCTGAGTGTTGACGCCAATTGAATTTCGTTGCCACGCGCCCTGCTGCCTAACTCAAGGTGTTTATCAACCAACGCTAGATTGAGGGGTAATGCAGAGCCTACTTCTGAATCCCCCCAAGATGATTTTCTGCTGTCGGGCCGAGCTTTTATGACCCAGCCACCTTGGTCAACTCGACGAGCATTGCTTGAAGAGGAAATCTATATTATTATCCAAGCTTATCAAATCATCACCCATGATGAGTGGAAATAAACTTTGTGCCAAGCCGTCAAAGATTTCGGTGCTTCCACGATGTCAGCCAACGAGTCAAAACGTCGTTCGGAACATAAACCGCCAGATGCTGCAGCATTTCAGTACAAGCCTTTAGAGGAAGGGATTGACTGCACAAGATTTTTGAGAATCCATCCTGCGAAAAACGACAACGACCATCTCATATGTTGCACCTTGGATCACATTGCCTTCGGAGAAAAGCCAAGCTACGAAGCTCTGTCGTACAGGTGGGGCGATGAGGCTCTTGCACAGACAATTGTGCTCAATGGCCATCATTTCCTCGTGAGGAAGAATCTTCATGATGCTCTTCAATACCTCCGCAATAGAGGAAATATTGGACTCTTGTGGATCGATGCGATCTGTATCGACCAGGCGAATGTGCAGGAGCGCAACAGGCAAGTTGCCATTATGAGACACATATACTTCAGAGCGCACACAGTAGTTGTTTGGCTGGGAAGTACTTATTCGCAATACCAAAAGGAGATTAGTCCGCTTGAGGCTCGCTTTGCTCCAGAAGACAGCTCAGTGGAAGAAACTCTCACCTTTGCAACTGGGCCCAGCGAGCCCGACGACGCACATACAGCTAGTTTGAAAATCGAGCGCAAAATGGTGCTTAAATTGGCAAAAGACGAGTATTGGAACCGAGTCTGGATCATTCAGGAGATCGGACATGCTAGACAAAGACGCGTCTGCTTCGGGAAGATGGAGCTGAGTTGGAGCGATTTTATCAAAATGATGACGCACCACAGCGTCACAACTGAAGGGCCTCTTCGGTTGAACCAGCAAGCCGAGCAAAAGTACCAGGGTGTTGGTATTCCTATCACAGGGATGGTTCGAACCGTAGGTGACAAAGAGGTCAAAATCTATATATATTTAACTTCTACATAAGGTGTAAAAAGGAGGTTCTAACCGGAGGTTAGGTAGACCGTAGATCTCGTAAGTATGGTCTGTAAGTAGCCCCTGTGCGGGCCCCTTACCTCGAGGTCGAATTGGACTTTTAATCCGATACTAATTATCTCTCTTTTTTATTACCTAATTACGGCGGTTAGAAGTATAATTCGATCTCGGGCTCTTTTACTAAGGCTGCCCCCTTTTCCTCCTTCTTTTACTCCTTATAGGTTACCTATCCCTCTATCTATATTATCGCCCTTTTTTTACTGACGAAGTACTTAAGCCCCTTATTAGGCGTTATCTTTGTAAAAATATCCGCTAGATTATTATCCCTATTAATCTAATGGATCTTGAGGATCTTATGGCGCTTATACGATTACTAGAAGGCTATAATATCTATTATTAACCTCTTCTCCTTTATGGTGCCCAGTTTGATAAGGCACTTATATAGCGAGTATGAATCGGTATAGACGATTATTGGTATCGTAGGGATATTAAATTAATTAGTAATCCTCTTTAGCGTCGTTGAGATCGTATATACGATGTCGACGCCGTTAACTATACTATAGACCTCTAAAGCGAGTATACTTCATGTAACCCTTTTACTCTTTGTTGATAAGTAGTGGATAATATTATTATAGATCGTGAAGTTCTCCTTTTTTATTACCTCGTTAGTAAGGATTATTATATATCCTAATTATAATATAAGGTCGTTATTATTTATAAATAAGCCGTTAACGAACATATAGAGCTTTACCTCCCTTAGGTCGATAGGTTAGTATATAAGCCCCCTATTAAAGTTCACTTATTACCATTATAGCCGTTGGTTAAGGGCGTTAAAGTTATGTTCTATCGGCAAAGTAGCCTGTACTGTCCTTGCGCAGTTAAAAGTAGCCTTTGGCTAATAGATGCTTATGATATAAGCTCTTTATGTAAGCTCTGTTTTATACCGCTTCTAGTAGTCGGTTACCTTTAGGTTGATGAGGGTGATCTTTTCGCCTTACCCCTTTTATTAAAAGACGATATTCTTGCCCTCGATCGTGAGGATCTTGCCGTTGAATGTAAATAGTATGTCCTTTATGAGGATCTTTTTTAGTTTAGCGGTAAACTTTACTTTTTCTAGCTCCTTATCCTCCTTTTTTATGAAGGCCGTATTAAAAAGCCTTAATGTATCGTCGGTCTATATTCCGATAATTTTAAATGGATTATCTGTATGCGTAGAAACTAGGAGGTAAGGATCGTACGTCGATATAATTATTAAGAGCTTATCGATATAGAAATCGTGGTATATTACCTACCAGTAAGTACTTGACTCTATAAGGCCGTAGAGTAGCTTTAGTACTTTAATAATCGTGTTATCTGGGTATTTACTTATTATCTCCCTTAATAAGTAAGCTAATATCTTTCTTGTGAGCTTTATTATTAATTAGGTATATTTCTAGGTGATATTACGACTCTAGATCCGGTATCTTTTTTATTATAATAATGCTATTAATGCTATTATTAGTTGTTGGCTATAGTGCTGAACTATCGGTGATTGCGTGAGCAGTGCCGCCTTCTTAACATTACCGTAGCCTTATATTATATACTTTGATTTCTCATATGGCTAATTTATCCCTTTTCCTTTGATCTTGCGGACTATTTGTAACTTAAAGATATGGAGGTTTGCGTGCTTCTTTAGGTTGTAGGTGATAAATTTATAAACCCCTCGATCGTATAGTGTATCGGCTTTGATAAGGTTAGAGCCTTTATACGGTCATCTTATAATTATAATTATCCCTTATTCCCTTAGCTTAACCGCTATTATGAAGTCTACTTTCTCTTTAGCCGTATAAAAGATAGTAGTAGCCTTAGTATTAAATATGAATTACCGTTGAGGTACTTTTCGGGGTCTTCTTCGGCATCTTGCTTATAGTAGGGGTACTAGTTCTTCTTCTGCCTTATTATCTAAGGGTACTACGACGATAATTTCGTTAAGGATGGTTTCCTACTCCTTATCGCTTAGTTGTCCTTTATCGCTTTGTTGAGATGGTTCCCCTAGCTCTTCTTTTTTTTGTAGGTTAGAAATTATTTTACTGGGGTCGATATGGTACGGTCGTACTGTAGTAATCGATACCTCTAGTGGTTGGTCTTGATCTTTTGCGATAATATAAGATCGTTTGTCAATTAAGATTAACTTATATAGGCCTGTTTATTATTTTATAGTTTCCCTCTATACCCGTACCTCCGAATTTAAGGGCATATCGAGGTTAAGGCTTACGTCGGGCCTATTATGCATAGTACTAGCTTCGTTAACTTGCCTTTTAGTATTTACTTTGCGGAGAGTCTTTATTACTTTTTCGATTGCTTACGCCCTTTAGGTTATATCTGGTAATGGCGGTAAGGCCGTCGTTGTTCGTGGGTATACTCCGAACATAAATAGCGTCGGAACGAGCCCTTTGGGTCCTATGGTATTATTGTAGCACTTGAGTGCCGTCTAGAGGTACTTTTCGTCCGTTAAACTAGGGCTTTCTTCCTAGATAATCTTGAAAGCTTTTTTTAATTACTGGTATAATCTTTCTACTTTACTAATATTATAGTATGCTTCGATAAGGACGATGTTTAATTGGATGCCGTATAAAGTAGTATTCTCCTTAAATTCTGCCGACTTAAAGCTAGTGCCGGTATTGGTTTTAATGCCGTCTAGTGGACCTTAGTATATATCGATCTAATAGCGCTTTAGCGTTGCCCATACGGTCTTGGCTTGTATATCTTGAAGGAATTGGCCTCTTTGGAATGATATGGCTTTATCGATTATATGGAGTACTGGTCGATTATTTAAATAGAAGATATTAATGACGATTTCTTAATTAAAGTTGAGGTCGTTGTGTAATTTGAACTTGAATCTGCGCGGGCTCTGGGCGTTCATTTGGTACTGGTGGCATACCATTGTTAATTATTCTAGAGCCCCTATTTCTATATCGTTCCCTGAATGTTTAAGGAGATTATATAGTTTCGTTACTGACGGATGGCCGAATTGTCGATATAGTCGCTTAAGTTCACTTTCTGTTAAGTAATTAATGGACTTAACGTCTGGTTCAAGCTTTATAAATGCGTGCCCCTATCGTTGATCGACGAGCTTAGAGTACTTTCTATTAGACATTCTATTCCTTATGTTGTTAAATATAATGCCTAATTTATCTATATCGTTTAGGTATAGGAGGAATAGTATATTAACGGGTAGAATATAGAAAATCATTGTTCTGAATCGTGTATTTATATCTATAGTACTTAAGGCACTTATCTTTTCCCCTAGGCCGAAACTGATCCTCGTAATGCCCGCGTTTGTAGTGTTGAGGGTCATTAGTGAGATCTTTTGGAGTGCGTGGAATTGTCCTTTGCCCCCCGTCGACTATTATAATGCCCTGGTATCTGGAATAATCCCGTGGAAGGTTTCTAAGCTATACCTTTTATTAGTATGGAATGCTTGTACTAGATTATTATAGAACCCTCCTGGTGGGTATAAATTGTATATTTATAAGCCTATCGTTCTCTTTTCCTCCTTAGGCCCTTTGACCTTAGTGCGAGCTATGGCTACGGTATTAGTATTTATGTCCCCTGTGCTGCTGAGCGTTGTTGTTAGCTAAGGGACCTTCTCTTACTAACTATGGAGGAAAGCTTATTTATTTAGGGCTTATACCGCTCTTTATTCATTCAGTATTATATATCCTTTTAAGGTTGATAGGGCGAAGAAAGAATGGGTAATATCGTTAACTTTATTGAAGTCGAGGTCTTGAGTGTATGGGGTAAGATCTTCCTTACTTTTAGACGACTCGATTACGTTCGTTAGATAGTCCTTGTAGACCACCAGGAATTAGTTAAATTAATTATGGCCCGTCTTGCCTTATATGCCCTTTGCCTTTCTATATTGGTCGTATAACTTGGTACGTTCCTTATCAGAGTGGTTACTTGACTAATAACCCTCTTTTTTATATATAAAGTACTTCCTTTTCCGCGGTGCTCGGTTGGTATTGGACTAGCGCCCCCTTGAGGAGTCTATTCCTCCCCCCTAGCGGTTACTATACCTTACCTCTCTTCCTTTGCCATTATACGTGCGGTCTATCTAGTACTGTTAGTGAGGGCCTTTGTAAGATTAGAGGTAAGTCTAATTTAGTATCCTGGCTTCGATATTAAAGCTGGACCTTAACCTCGAGTATAGCGTCTCGTAGTCCTTAGGCGGTTGATGTAGAGTTATTTTTACCTCTAGTACCCTCTGTACCGCCGTATATAGATAACCGACCTTTTACTTATTAGTCCCCTTATTTAGCTACGTCCTTGCTAGTTTATCGATCCTGTCGATGAGCTCCTCGAGGATCTCAATTCTCGACTTTCTTTCCATTATTCTAGCTATAGAGCTAAATAATAATGCCCTCAGCTCCGAGAGGAGCTCGAGGCTCCTATCTTAGGTCTCGAATCGATTTCGGATTATGTTAACAATGCTGAGAAAGTCGGTTCGATCAATATTACGCACCGCTTAATAGTAATACTCGGTAGCTTTCCCTATTAGTATAATATTGACTACCGAATGATATTGGTGTTCTTGGATACCGACTTTTTTATAGTAGTTATAGAACATCGTAAGGGTTTCTTATAGGACCTTATATCTCCCCCCTAAGTATAATTTCTCTTTTAGAAAGATCTTTTTTAGGTCAGTGAACTGTCTTGTACTGGCTACTGCTGGATCGTTCTCTTTACGTACTTCTCGTGCGGTAGCGTAATTAGGTGGTGTCTATATTATCGACCTTGTACTTTGTTAGGTACTTAGGATTAATCTTCGGATTAGTATTATCGTTAGGGTCGTCACTACGATGGGCGGAATCGTCGTCTGATGCGCCTCCGGTATGATCCCCCTTGTCTGCGCTAGATTAGGCACCGCGATATTACCGTTGGTGATCTTCAGCAGAAAGTCCGGTTGGTTCACTTGTCTGCTGAATTCTTTATACTTTAATACTGCTCTATCGATCTAATTCTAGTCCTATGGCGTGAAGTCCTCTGCGGCTACTGTCGCTGCGAGTATCTCGTGGGCCTTTTGCCTTACCCCTTAGGCTAGTAGAACGCCTCGGCAGTAGAGGAATCTGTTTACCTTCTTGACGATACCGGGATTAGTACTAGCGAACTATTTATCTTTCTAGTCGCCTAGGTCGTCTACAACTCTATAGAACAGGGGTTGCCCTTTGAGCCCCTTACGGGCGTATATCTCTATAATGAAGACTAACGCCGTATTAATTTACTCGCTATTAGGGTGGTCTGAGTCTCGATATGACTATTTCCCCCAGTACTCCGGATTAATCTTAACCTAATCTTTTGGGATAGGAGTCCTTCTGCGCGTTCTGCATGCTGATTCGCCCCCTATCGTCCTTTGGCTTATGCTTCTGTTTGTAAGGGCCGGCGTGTTTGATCTTGATAGGGATATGTTAGATCCGCTTATTAGTCGTGGTAATAGCGCACTATCGTTGCTCGCTATATTTGTCGGGGTCTAGGAGCTTCCTGCAGCCTCCAACCTCCTTACGGCGAGCCTTGTCACCATCTGCTCTTGGTCTTCTGAATTAGCCACTATGTTTCTTGTTAACGGTTTTTTCTTCCTGTGGCGTACCCTATTATATAAGAGAGGTCTTCTAGTGGCCCTCTCTTTGTGTTCTCTCCTCAGACGTCTTCTTAGCTTTCTCCCGTGCCAACTAGGGCAATAAGCTCTTTTTTTACCTTTGTAGCTCGGCGAGGATGTGTAGTCTGAAGAATTAGGTACCTTATACCCCTTTATAGGGTGAGCGTTGTGATGCTTCTGAATCCCTTCCTTCCTCATCTTAACTCCGCCTGGCTTTTATTCCTTCGGAATAGCCGAGGGGTAGTAGGTGTAGGTAAGAAGGGGAAGCTTGACCTTGGAATCTCGAAGTCGGTCTTAATAATGGCGATATCGCCATCGATCCCGGTAGCCTCCTCGGATTCGACTAAGAAATACGCCTGGAGCTACCGGCGGGGTCTGGTTCCTACCTGAACACCCTATTGCCTTGAAAGTTTGTTTTTGTGGTCCTGAGGTGCCTTTTTATATCCTCTAATTGGGCCTGTTTCGTTGTACGGTCGAGATCTGCGGTGGATTTACTAATCTGGCGAATCTGGTGATTTCGCTTGTTTTCCTCTATTGGCGTACGGGCCGCCCGTGGATTGTTGAGTAGGATAAATCGCGTGAGGGCGATGTAGGTAGCTTGGTCGCCTTCTTGCGATTCCTTTAATTGCGGTTTGTTTTTGACGTGATGGACGTCGACCTTTCGTAGGCAGTCAAGGGCTGCGATTCCTTTATTTCGTTCCGTCGTAGAGATTCGCGTCTTGTCGCCTACTTTCCGTCGGGTAGGTAGCACGATTCTCCTATCGCGTTCCGTTCGAGGAGGTCGTCTCTTCTGCTTACGAGATGCCTTGCTGATCTGCAATAGTGGGATTTAACCATTGATTAGTGTTGGTATTCCTATTATAGGGATGGTTCGAACCGTAGGTGATGAAGAGGTTAAAATCTATATATATTTAACTTCTGCGTAAGGTGTAAAAAGGAGGTTCTAACTGGAGGTTGGGTAGACCGTAGATCTCGTAAGTATGGTCTGTAAGTGGCCCCTGCGCGGGCCCCTTGCCTCGAGGTCGAATTGGACTTCCAATCCGACACAGGGCTCCCATACTCTGAGACGTCTTCTCTCCGATCACCGCAACTCTCAGTGCCAAGACCCAAAAGACAAGATCTTTGGTCTCATTGGCCTAGCAGTGGATGGCTACGGCTATCCAAGCCCTGACTACGACAAGTCACTGCTTCAAATTTGGACAGAAACGATGGAGTTCATGAATCGGCATGCAATGTTCGATGATAATGACGAACTTGACGTTGTATCTCACGCAAATTTGGTCAAGTTCCTTCTCATGGGAACACATTGCACACCGATTCAACAAGTCCTGAGGCCCTATGCCGCAGAAGCTGAGACACAACTTATATCACTCCAGTATGGATTCATACATCCTGGGGCTTTCAAATTGACTGGATACATACTTGGCTCGATTCAGTCCCTAGGTCCTTCAGTAAAAGATGTGGCTGGTAATCTGGGCAGAGTCGACGAGTGGTCGCATAAAGTCCAGATCAACTATGAAGACGATCTTGGAACTGCCTGCAAGCAGAGTAACGACCTTTTAGGGGCCCTCTTGGACGAACAAACTGGAGGGATTTCACAGCGTTGCTTCAATCAGATTAGTCTTGTCAGTTGGCGAGAGAAGCTCCGACATGACTCTCCTCTCTTATCATTTTTGAGTTGGTTTGACCGACAAAAGCAGAAGGCGATACCAGTCGAAAACCTAAATCACTCCGACCCTTCATCACATACATCTACCAAGGATTATGGAGCTTCAGAAACTATGTTGTATCAGCTTTGAACCGGTCGTAACTTTGATCGAGTCCTAAGTGGAAAATGGGAGTCGCTTCCTGCCAAGCGGCATTAGGTGACGTTGTATGCTGGGTTGGAGGCACCAAGACGGCCTTGGTTGTGAGGCCAACGGGGAGCCATGAAAGTGCGGAATACGGATATGCTCAAAACGTCCAGCTTCAAGTCATTGGTACAGCCATGGTTGCCGAAGACATTGCGGACTCAATGATCGATCACTCTCTAAGGCTGAATATCCAGGGTGAAAGGGGCGAGGTTCGTTGTGAATATGGGGTGAGACCGCCAGGAAAAGTGCCTTTGATGTTGGATGCTCGGACTCTCTTCATCATTCTACTAGAAAATCACGATTGAGGTGGCCGTTCAATCGGATATGGTTGGGATAGTGGTCTACTGGCTGTTGTGTACATGGGACTTGGTCTGCCATGCCTTGTCGTCCTTATATTGGCTCTGGGGCGGAAAGTTGAGAGCCCTAGAACAGGAACCTCGAGATTAAATACTTTTGAGTACTGAAGGTACCATCACAGTCCAGGATAGGTAGTCGGAGAAAGCCAAAGGGGTTGGGGAGCAAAGGAACAAGAAGCATTTGGCTTGCAAGATGTGTTAAATTTCATCATATCCTTCGTAATTATATCCCCGATTAATCTAAAATCACAAAAAACTACCCAAGCTTGAGCAATGGAACGGACCAAGAGCAATTACTACAGCCGTCTGGAATCGGCCACTTTCCTAGCTAGACCTGAAGTCAACCATGAACCCAATGTTGTAAGGAACGCAACCCATATGTAGAGTCCGTTTGAAGAAGTGAATAAGCAAGCTCCTCGGTATGAAGAGCCAGTGTGCGAGAAGAAGAGTCTTTTTGTCACCGAGTTCTCTTACAACAGGAAGACGACTCCAGCAACAGCGCCAAGAGCCATACCGACGAAGCCGTACGAGACAGCAGGTCTGCTGGAGCCCGCAACGGTAACAACAGGGGGCTTGGCACCTCCTCCGGGAGCACCACCGCCGGGTGCCGTGGGGTTGGCGGAAGGCTGACCGGCAGGAGGGTTGACAGGTGGCTGGCCAGCAGGAGGGTTGGCAGGGGGCTGGCCAGCAGGGGGAAGAGCAGAGTCGGCTGGAGGAGAGACCGACGCAGAAGGGTTCGCGGGAGGCTGGCCTGCGGGGGGTGTAACTGCAGGGCCGGTGGGAGGAGCTCCAGAGGGAGGTGCACCAACGGGAGGCAAAGCAGAGTCGGCTGGAGGTTGACCAACAGGGGGCAGTGCGGACGGGTTCATGGGAGGCTGACCGACAGGAGGAGTAGCCGTGGGCATGGCCGGAGGGTTCGCAGGAGGGCTGGCAGGAGGCATGGCCGGGGGGAGAACAGTGGGGTACGGGAGGGTGATTGGCGGATGGGGCATGGGGCAATCATCGTTGCAAGGCGTAACGATCTTGCAGTCGTCGTCGGTGCACTCGTACTTCTTGTTGACATCGGGGTAGGGGCAGGTCTCGTGCTCGCACATATCGCCGGTGCAGACGTACTTCTTGTAGCATTCGTCTCCCGAGCAGGTCTCAATCTTGCAGGCGTTGCCGTAGCAGATGATCTTCTCCTTGGTGCACTCGTCCCCATGGCATTGAGAGTATCCGCAGAGTCCGCCCTTGCAGATGATCTTGCGGCCGCAGTCATATCCGCTGCAGACCTCCGGGTGGCAGAGTCCGTCCACGCACACAATACGGCGACGGCACTCATCGCCGTAGCAGGGGTAGTCGAAGCTGACATAGTCACCGTAGCAGACAAGCTTCTTGTAGCAGTCATCGCCGTAGCAGGGCTGGCCGAAGCACTGTCCGTTGCTGCAAGGGTTAGGAGCGGGGGTCTCAGTAGGGCAGTAAGTGGTCGTGACGGTGGTAACGCCGGTGGTGAGAGATCCGATATCACAGGTCGTGAGTCCAGGAGGGCAAGAAGTGACGGTTCCGGTAGTCGTGGTCGTGAACGAAGTCGTGACAGTCGCAGACGCGGTAGTTCCGCCAGCAAGAGCGAGACGAATGTAGATGGTGAAGCGGACGTTGAGGCCAATGATTTGACGTCTGGTCAGTCCGACCTGGCCACCGCAGCGTTCAGCGTTGTTGCCACCGCAGGGGATGTTGCACTGGTCATCAGGGACGGAGACCTCATTGACAGAGTCAACAGTGGTGCCGCAGAAGCAGTCATTGCTGAAGAGACCGATGTACTTGCTTCCAGGGCAAGCAGCAACGCAGCGCTCGATGGTCATGGACGAGGCAGACTGGGTGAGAACGAAAGTAGGGAAGCTTGAAGGAGAGCTGAAGCAACCAAGATAGCTCGCATCACCGACAGTCAGAGGGTTGACAGCCGCGCTAGAAGATGCAGCGGCACTGGAGCTGGAGGAAGAAGTTTGGGTGTCAATGGTGGACGTGGTAGGAACGCTGGTGACGCCCTCGGAGGTGGAACTGATAGTCGTGACAAAGGTACTGCCATCGCTGGTGAAGCTCGACGTGGACACGAACGTGGAGGTGAAGGAAGAGGGAACGCTGGTGGTGATGACAGAAGAGGTGCCTGATCCAATGCTCGTGGTGACCGAAGGGACACTGGTGACGCCTGAGGTGACGCTGGTGAGGGTTGTCAAGAACGTGCTGCTGCCGCTGACGAAGCTGGAGGTAGAGACAAGAGTCGAGGTGAAGGAAGAAGCGACGCTGGTGGTGCCAACAGAGGTCGTGGCAGATCCAGCGCTGGTGGAGACAGAGGCCACGCTAGTGACACCGATGGAGGCCGAGGAGACTGTGGAAGCACCCGTGCTGGCTGGGGCTGTTGAGGATGAGGTGGCTACTGCCAAAGTGGTGGTGACGCTGGAGGCGACAGAACTGACGGTTGTAGATCCAATCGCGGGCGTAATCACGGTAGTTCCTCCTCCGAGAAGGGTTGTGAGAAGGCCTCCGGGGTTGACATTGACAGTCGCGACGGGAAGAGCAACGCTGACGCCGTTGCTGCCAAGACCAATGGTGGCAACACCGCCAACACCAACGCCGACTCCGGCGGTTCCGGCTCCGACGCTGATAGGGATACCACCAACACCGACAGAGGCTCCAACGCCTCCAGAGTTGACTCCAGCAGTGACGGTTGCGCCGGCAGCACCAACACTAGCAGCGATCGTGGACCCAACGCCAACGGCAACGGTGGCAACACCGCCGACACCGAGACTGACACTGACACTCTGGCCGACACTAGCACCGACACCAACGCCTGCAATTGTTGTGGTAAGGGCGACGGTGACAGGGAGCGTGGGGAGCGTGGGGAGCGGCGGGATCGGGGGGAGCACGATCTGAGCCATGGAGCCATGGCCCAGGAGGGCGATGGCGGCAAGAGAGCGGAGCGCCATTGTGAAGCGACTGACAATAGCGAGTATTAAAGAGTGACTAGACCTCTGGCGGTGAGCGAGAGAAACGAGGTCAAACTAAAAGAATGAATGTGGTCCAAAGGCAATGAAAGAATGTCGTGATGATCGTGATGATGAGAGTGAAGAGCAAGTCGTTTGGAGAGGTAACATTGCCCTCTTTTTATCTCGGATTCTGATCAACATCGTGTTGACATTGTCTGCAAGTAGCAGATGGAGAATGCTCTGTGAAGCTTTCTCGATACGATGTTCGCCCCTGAAAAAGGAACCACCTCGAAGAATGTAGCAGTATCCTTTCCATGCCTCAAGTGAGCCTAGCAGTAGACGATGCTTCGCCTCTGACCTCCTGCTCTATGGTCTGGTTGTGGACATTAGCCCACGATCAACATTAGCTAGTCTTATTTCTCGATGTGTAGGGCTATGAAGGATGGCAGAACAAAAACGTCGTTGGTTTGGCTCGGACTATGCCGACTAGCGATAATTGTGTCTCAGCATGCAGTCGCGCGTGAAGAGAGGCAATTCCTGTTATTGTTGCACGAAGGCCTCCTAAAGGAGTGCAATGTTTCTCGGAAACGAACCTTAACCATCTTGATTCCTCTGGATGAGGCGTAAAGCGCTGAAGATGCTTTTTCCTCAATTGTGCAGCAAAATCCAGATGAATTCTGTGGCAACTTCAAATTTTCAAAGGCTCATCATCTTCAGTCCGATTTCCGTTCTGACGAGGTGGTATGCCGCGTCACGATCTTACCCAAAATCCTCACGTCGACGCAGCCACGGGCCGTGGGACTGGACTGTGACTACTGATCGCGGTCTAGAACATAAAATGCTCTCAGCACCTGTGCCGTTTTGCCAGGTGAGACATTGTCTCACTCGAATTGCACCACCTCGAGCCCCGTGTGGAAAGGGTTGCTGTGATCCCGCCGGACCATGTCGGGTATATGGGCGCCGTGATGTCTAAGATTTGCCGGCATTTGCGGGTGGGGAATGTAGAAGCTCACCTCGGATTCCTAGGAGCCAATCTCGTGCCGGCTCCGTAGTAGTTCACAGCAACCCCTTGGCAGAGCGTTGTACAAACATGCCAGTTGGCCTCGGCCCGAGCGCTACGAATGCAGCTTTTGCCGTATTGGAGTCTTGCTTTTTGAAGGTTGTACAGCATGCCTCTGAGGGCGCCAACGAAAGTCTTTTCGGGCCTTGCCGGCTACTCAGCTGGACTTGTGCGAGACAGGTCTCGTCATTGATTGCCGAACAGCTGTCTTTGGCGGTCTTCGATTCGGCCACACGATCCAAGGGGTAGGTTCATGGCGTGATTGACCCTGGGACGGTAGTACAATGGCTAACGAGGCATCCACTCAAGCAGACAGGAAAAAGAAAAGTCTCAAAGTTTAGCACAGCTTCAACGCGTGAGATGGACTGTGTCAGCATACATAGATCGAGGCGCGTCCCAATCGTGTAACCGGGCCCTGAGCAAGGAATTCAGTTAGATAGTACAGCGAGTCATCTATTGTCATTCTGCCTTCGTGGTTGGTCAGGCATCATCACGATAATAGCAGCCTGATCAGGCTGGAACTTATTATCATGAGGCCCCCCTTCAATAACAAACAGCATTCCCTCGCTCACTTCCCACGGAGGCTGTCAGTCGCTGCGTCGATGTTGCAAAAAAGACATCAAGTAAAGCCAAGAGTGAGCTGTTCATGTCAAAGGAACGAGACTCCTGATGTGGCTTCTCGTACGGACATCTTCGCGTGGACTGTAACGCCCCTGACTCGGATATGATCAAGGGAGGCGAGGGGCAAGGCCCATTTGCCTCAGTCTCTGCTTGGTCTCGTGAACATTGGATTCTCCACACACTGACGGCATTGACTTAACACTTGGTAGTTCTCCTCCGACGAAGATCCTTGTCGAAAAGGCGCTCATTGAGTCCCTAACCGCCGAATGAATTCTGCAGGTTTACAACTTATACGAACAGGTATG